AAAGTCCTAATCCAAATGGCGGAATGTTTGAAGAAGGGGCGGTTGCGACATTATTTCATTGATATTTCATCATTACTTAATAGCGCATATTTCCAAAGAAGAAGCAAATGAAATAAGCACTAAAATAAATGATATAATTAAAGACCCAGAAAGTGCTCTGCAAGTTTACTTTGACGAGGACAAATCTGAAATGAAGCAGACAGCATTAATTTCAAAAGAAGATTTACATGATATGAAAGAATGCAGTTCAAGCACAGGTTTAGCTAGAAAGACGGGAAACATAACAGAAATGATTCCACGGCTTTTAAGGTTATATGGTGGCGACAATTCAAAAATTGGTAAAAGCGCTTACAAATACCGCATTTTTTGTTATTGAGAAAGAAACTGATTTTGAAGATACAGACAAACCATTCTTCAATCAAATTTTCAAAAGTTTTGCACAAGTTGGCCAATATAGAACAGCTAATTACAGAGGAAAAGAAGAGAAAGAAAAAGCCCAACGTGAATTAGAATCCAATCCTTTGCATTTATTATTATCTGTATTAGGAAAACGATTTCTTTATATTTTGGGCTAATTTCTCTTTACATACACAAAATGATCTGAGGTTAAATTGAATTGATCTTACTTGTATCGCATGTTACAATTATTTTCATGACTGATGTCAGTTTTGATACATTCCATAGTCCTCTACTGTAATCAAGTTTGTGTGATATTTATCTTTATGGCATAATTTTTGAAACATTTGATACCTTGGGTGAATAATTCATAGTGTGTTTTTCATGCTACTGAGGGAAGTCATTATAACTTATAACTCTTGTTTAGAAGTAAATTTTATTGCAGTATTAATACAACAAATCTTCATGTAAAGAATTTTTTTTCATTTTAAATTAACAAAATATTTAAAAAAAAAAAAAAAAAAAAAAAAAAAAAAAAACATCTTAGTGTGTGTGTAATAGAGAACAAATTGTGTGACATTGCAAAAGCCTTTGATTATACTGAAAATGGTTGTGTTTGAGGATACATTCATTAAAATTCAAAATATAGTGTGTCAGCAAGGTTGTCGATAAAAAATGCTTATTAATTAATAAACTTAAGAATATTTTCTATCCAAGTATAAAATTTTAATTTGATGGTTGTGTTCTGTTGAAAATATTTTTTTAAAGCTTGTAAAACCATTTTCAGAGGATAAATGCCCATGAAATGTGTTTAGTGATGCATTTTATAATACGTGGTCCCAGAAATAAAATAATATTTCTAAATAGATTTGCAGTTCCCATGAATCCAATGAATCTTTACCCTATTGTCCATTGAAATGTTTATAATTTTCATTTTTTTTCCGACTTAAATAGAGCCAAAATGGGCCCTTGTTGAACTTACTTACCATCATAGGAAGACTTAGAACTAGGATCGACCTTTCAACATCTCCAATGCATAACCTATATCTTAACATAAACATTTTTTTAATTTCAAGGACAGTGGTATTCCTAATTAAATCAAAATGTTGTCCTTGTGGTTTTATTATCTTTCTACTTTCTCTTTTTCTCAGCTTTCAACGTGAAAAATCTACCTTTTGTGAAAGATTCCCTCTTCACAACTCTCTCCAAAAACTAAATTTGAAAGTCACACTCAAAGTAAGCGATTTTTAGCAGTCCTAAAAAATCAAGATCTCAATGTTGGACATCATTAAATTCACACAATTTCTTACTAAATATGAAAGTTTTTTTTTTAATAAAATTTTCATTTTTAGTTAATTTTTTAATTTAATTAATCTTGATTGATTTTGGTTGGATCGACAAAATGACTTCACAGCTTCAACTTTCAAATACAAAATATTTTATTCCTGCCTTTCCACTTGATGAAAAGCTGTTACCATGCACTGATAAAAGGAAACAGTGAATGGTGACCAGGAAAGGGTCATGTTTGAAAATTTCCTATTGTACATGGTGGAATGTTTAAAAAATAGAGATATACTCAAGAGCAGCATTTGTTTATAGAGATCATTTTGATAGCACGTCTCTTTCAAGAGGAAGCCACTGAAATCTGTGCAAACATCGACAAATGGACAGTTTCATGAAGCATCCAATTGCAAGAACGACTACATTCTTTATAAAGCCATTCTAGAAACCATATATATGATCCTCAAGTAAGAGACATATTGTGATGAAAAACTTACCAAAACAACAAAATAAAAGCTAGAACTCAAATCAGTGCTAACGTCCTTCAATCTGTTAATTTTTGAAAGGGTATTATCACCGACGAATCGGAGAGGAAAACTAAGATCTTCTGCCATGTAAATGGTATCTCCAAAAGGAGCGTAAATATTAAAAGAAAAGAGCCCTAGGTGAACTAACATTTAAAATTTGATGTCTTGAAAAGACGGAAGCATTTCCAAAATTTTATTACAAAAGAACACAATTTTTGTTCCCCCTTAACTCATATATGCTACAGATTGAAAATGGTTCAGCAGAGAAGAATCTGAAAATGTTTAAAAATTTACTACCAATGCACATGGCACAATAGATTCCATATAAAAAAGGCTCATCTGAGTCACCTCAAATCGATAATGGAGGTAAGGTCCCCAAGATTTTTAAATGAATTTGTTAAATGCCCCTCCCTTTCCCTCCAGTGAAATTAGAGTCCCTATGCAGTACTTAATACAGGGTTTTATATGGGACAGGAAAGATTTTCTTAAATTTATACCCTGATTAAACAAGAGGCCCATGGGCCTTGAATCGCTCTTCTGATAAACTGTACAACCTATCACTTCTATTTGAAGCCTCAAAGTATCCTGTATATTTACATAAACCCTTGAAATTCCAATTCACACTCTGAGAACCCAAGATGATTCTAAGCCAATTAGTACCTGAGAGTTGGTCATGGTGACCTACTTATCACTTGTCATTCTCTGAGGACCCATCAACTAAGTTTGATGATTCTAAGCCAATTAATACCTAAAATATTTTTTAAAATTATAATCATAAAATTTTATAAGTAGGTCAAAGTGACCTACTTTTCAATTGTTTTACTCCAAGGACCCAAGATGCATCAACTGACAAAGTTTGATGATTCTAAGCCAATTAGTACCTGTAATATTTAATAAAAGCCATAAATTTTCAAAAGTAGGTCACCGTGACCTACTTTTCAGTTGCTGTACTCCGAGGACCAAAGATACATCGACTGACAAAGTTTGATGATTCTAGCCAATAAGTACCCAAAAATATTTAATTACAGCCATAAATTTTCAAAAGTAGGTCACAGTGACCTACTTTTCAGTCAACCTACTCCGAGGACCAAAGATGCATCAACTGACAAATTTTGACGATTCTAAGCCAAATAATTCCTGAAAATATTAAATACAGCCATAAAATTTCAAAAGTAGGTCACCGTGACCTACTTTTCAGTTGTTGTACTCCGAGGACCCATGACGCCTAAACTGACAAAGTTTGATGATTCTAAGCCAATTAGTACCCGAAATATTTAATTAAAGCCATAAATTTTCAAAAGTAGGTCACGGTGACCTACTTTTTAGTCGATCTACTCTGAAGACCCAAGATGCATCAACTGACAAAGTTTGATGATTCTAAGCCAATTAGTACCCGAAATATTTAATTAAAGCCATAAATTTTCAAAAGTAGGTCACGGTGACCTACTTTTTAGTCGATCTACTCTGAAGACCCAAGATGCACCAACTGACAAAGTTTGATGATTCTAAGCCAATTAGTACCCAAAATATTTAATTATCGCCATAAATTTTCAAAAGTAGGTCACTGTGACCTACTTTTTAGTCGACCTACTCCGAAGACCCAAGATGCATCAACTGACAAAGTTTGATAATTCTAAGCCAATTAGTACCTGAAATATTTAATTATAGTCATATAAATTGAAAAGTAGGTCACGGTGACCTACTTTTCAGTTGACCTTTTTTGAGGACCCAAGATGCATCAACTTACAAAGTTTTATGATCATAGGACTTAAAATGTCCAAATTATGCCTCTAAAATGCTTTGAAATCGAATGCCTGCAAAGTTCAAAAAGTAGGTCACTGTGACCTACTTTTTAATAAATATGTTTTATGGCCCCAAGATGCATCATCTTACAAGATTTAATGATTCTAAGCCTCCCCGTATTCGAATTAATGACCTTAATTGTTTTAAAAAAGATTAGCCATAAAATTCAAAAAGTAGGTCAAGGTGACCTACTTTTTAGTTGACATACTTTGAGGACCCAAGATGCATCAACTGACAAAGTTTGATGATCATAGGCCTTAAATTGTTCAAAATATGCCTCTAAATCATTTTGAAAAAGAATGGCCACAAAATTTAAAAAGTAGGTCACCGTGACCTACTTTTGAGTCAACATGATATGAGGTCCTTAGATGCACCAACTGACAAGATTTGATGATCCTAGTCCTTATAGTAAGCAAAATATCAACATTTTAATAAAATGTAATTTTTGGTCAACTTTGAAGTGACCTTGAGACCACGCCCTTTGCCCCAGGGTAAATCCCCGTGCAAATTTTAATCTACAACATATCCTCATCCTTTTGTGTAAGTTTGGTGATAATCTGCCCAGTGGTTCTTCAGAAGAAGATTTTTTAGCAACCAGTACTTTTGTTTCTATTTTCCTAATTATCTCCCCTTGTTAAAGGGTCACAACCCCAGTTTTAGTATAAAAGGGAGCCCTTGGGCCAAGGATACCCTGTGACAAATTTGACAATAATTGGCCAAGGGGTTCTTGAGTTATGGCCCATATTCTAAAAAGTTTACGCACACCGCACAAATGGCCATAGCATTAGCTCTTTGAGCCTTTGGCTCAGAAGAGCTAAAAATCTATCAGAGAAGAAAAGCTATTTCTGCTTCTACTTCATTTATGGACATACACTTGTCAGTTTGAACATTTCACATTTATTTAAGAGAAAAGTGAAATTTTAACTGATCAAAACTTATTAACAAATTAATAACACAAAAGTATGTCAAGGAACAGAATAAAAAGATAAATCATTTCTGTTTTATCATACATTCTACAATTTATTTACACATCAACAACGTAGTAACAAGTTAAGTTAACACCTTTTTTTTAATAGAGAATTTCAAAATGTCACATATAACTTGTCCAGTCATATCATTATCAAGCAGTTGCCGTTTTTTGTTGTGTTTGTTTAAACTGCTCAATTCTCTCTAGTAACACAGGTCTGAAGTGTCGAATTAGTCCCTGTAAACAAAGAAAACATGTATTATAAATTAACAAAGCAAAGTGTACTTAAAATAAAAATACAGTAGGATGCAACACAGATTAATCACCGCACAGAACTGTGGATATCTGAACCCAGTAGGTTAGTTTGTTTATCTAAACATAAATAGGTTGGTTTTACTTGACTACTTGAACACAGTTGTTTTTTTTTACTTGATTATTTTTGATAGACTATTTATATATTGACAGGTTTTCTTCCTCTTATCTATACTTACAGTGTAATAGGTACATTTTAGATTAAATATTAAAAGATGTGTCACCTACCTGTACTGGCCAGGCAGCTCCATCCCCCAGGGCACAAATTGTGTGACCCTCAATCTGTTTACTGATTTCATACAGCATGTCTATCTCCCCTTCCTTGAAGTTCCCAGTCTCTATAAAAACAGGTCAGAAATGTCATATCTTTTTTTTTCTTTTGGTAAAACTGACAATAAGAAAGACTTGATGCAAGAAAATTTCAAAAACATGCAGCCAAAAGCTTTGCTGAAGTTTGTTACATACAATGTACACAAAGTTCATATTCATGTCATCAAACATGTCAGGTCATATCTTGTTGCATATCAAATTACATATAAAAAATTTAATTATAATATGGGTATTTTACTGAACTCACCAAACCGTTTCATGATCTTTGCCATCCATCCAACACCTTCTCTACAGGGTGTACACTAGAAAATAGAAATCACTGTATCAGGAACAATGCTAGAAGCTCTTACATATTCATTTGAAATACTGGTAATAATAATTTTCTGAAAGAGAGAGAGATTTTAAGTTTTACCTGCCCACAGCTCTCGTGTTTATAGAACTCGATCAGTCTAGAGATACACCTTATGACGTCAGCGTCTTTATTCATGACGATGACGGCCGCTGTCCCCAGACTGGTCTGGGCTTGTACCAAGGCATCAAAGTCCATCATTACATCTGAACACACACTATTTCAACAAAAAATACTTGGTATAACAATTGAAGTTTTTAACTATAGTAAATCACAGTGGGAAATTATATGAACATTACCAGGCCATCATTAAAAATATCTTTGTTTCCCCTAACCCGACCAAAAAATCTCAAGTTGGGTAGGTAGGTAGGCAAATAATTTTTTTTTGACATCAGCTTTGAAAATACATTCTTAAACTTAAATGGAATGATACCTTTATAAATAAGTAAAGTACAAATAAAGTGATTTGTAAACAGCTAGAATACCATAACCCCAGAATACCCATGAATAAAAGGCATGATATGAAAGGACGTTTGAATTCTATTCATGAGGATGAAATATGCAGACTTATTTACAACTCTTATGGTCCCATATTCATTAAGTAAACATAGGAATACTGATGAAATGTTTATAAGATCAAAACTCAAATTAAATAAAATGCAGTGAAATTGATCGGTTTGTTCACAAGGTGGATCCCTTGTCTGCTCATGAGGGGTATCATGAGGAGGGCCTACGGACCTAAGCATGGTCTGTACGTACTTAATTTTAAGACAGGTTAGTAAATACAACCGAAACGTGCTTAATAGTTCATTGTGTATTTCATTTTATTAACAAAGTGTTTCAAGAGTTTAGGATTCTGATATGCTAAAGGCATAGGATTGATATGTCATCTTTCTTTTAATACGTGAACTAACCCTCAGTGACCGAGTCATGTTATGGGCGGCATTTTGTTTCCAATAAACGCTTGAAAATCACAGAACAAAATCAGTTGTTCTGATAAAAACGGATTTTGATGAAATTTTATTTTATAAAAGTTGATAAACATAAAAAAAAATATTGAAATAATCTTATGAAAAAAACTTTCCAATCGGCGTGTTTTAATTGGGTCGGTCGCGTTAGGGGAAACAAAGGTATTTTTTATTTTGGCCCCATGAAGATTTCCTCAATATAATTTACAAACATATGACTTATTTGTTTCTTAAGAAATTAACCCTCAAAACTTCTATATATGACTGGTGAAAATTCACATCTTGGATATTGAATATTGGAAAATTCACAAGTATCATTCATATGAAACTTTTCATAAAAAAAAAAGGTTGGACTTGCAGTTACCTCTTAGGAATGATTGGGGTAGAGGACCCCCCTGGAATGATCCCCAGGAGGTTGTCCCAGCCCCCGATGACTCCCCCAGCGTGTCTCTCGATCAGTTCCTTCAGACTTATGGACATCTCCTCCTCCACTGTTACTGGGTTATTGACGTGTCCCGAGATGTTAAACAGCTAAACAGAAGAAAAGGTAGTTAGGATATCATGTAGATAAATCTATTTATCAAAAGGTTGTTCTAATGCACATACATGTATAGTGACACATAAGGATCTTTGTAAAAACTGAGTAGATTTTGTTTTTATACACTGACTTACTTTAGTTCCCCTATTTCTCTCCCTTCCAAACGAAGCAAACCATTCACCTCCTCTTCTACAGATTGCCTGAAAAATAAAAATTAATGTTGAAACAATTACCTGATTATTTTCGTATTCTTGTAGCCCCCCCCCCCCCCATCAGATAATGTGATATTGTAATATAATTATAGTAACATAAAGATATTCCTTTTAACTGACAGTGATCTCTAACACAACTGTATGACACTTACTGGGGCCACAGCCACTGTCTCCACATTAGCTACTGTCGTAGGACATCCAAACACTCCCACATCTGCAGGGAACGGGGGCTTTAGGCGGGGCTTGCCAGCTTTACCCTCCAATGACTCAATCAGGGACTATTAGAAGTAAAGTAAATATAAAGTGTAAAAAGATTTTAACTATCAGTTATATTTTATGTATTCATATATTTTACATATACTTTTAGTCAGTTAAAGAATCTTGTACAGATTGGAACAACAAATTTTAGAAGAGTGATTGCTATTAAAACCATGTACAGTATTAAATTGTCTTCATTAACTTAAAAGAATAAATCCATTCATACATGTACACACACTACTAAATGGCTCACATGACAAGGTTCAAGGAACTAACATTAATTAAGAATTATGAGTGTTATATGGTAACTTACCGTTTCTTCCCCACAGATATAGGCCCCTGCTCCTCGGTGAACGAAGACATCAAAGTCATACCCAGAACCACAAGCATTCTTACCCAGCAGTCCAGCAGCATATGCCTGCAATTATATCACACATTATCATTAAGCGGTCATTAATGAAGAGAGTAAGGGATAAGAAATACTTGGGTGACCAAAAAAATGGATCTTTTTTTGAAGCTCTTAGTTCATTTAAACTTTGTTCTTTCTCAAAGAATCCTTGATCAACATTCCAAGTTTTACATCGAGAAGAAATGATCATCTCTAAATAACTTTATATACACATCTCTAAATACATTTATATACACATCACTAACAGTTGAGGTTCAGACAAAAGAGCACCTGTTCTGTTAACTGACCTCATTGATGGCCACCTGTAGGTTAGATGCCTCGTTATAAAACTCCCCTCTGATGTAGATGTAGGCTGTAATAACAGACATTAGGATTTCTCTCAAACACAGCAAAAATCACATTTAAGTAATGAATCAGTTATTCACATTTTAATGCATGTATAATACACACTCATTTCTAGACATTTTTCCCCTATTTTCATATAGGAAGTTAATACTACATCTGTATTTTAAACAATGATTGACCTACAATATGATCAACATCATTTCAAATCTGAGTTCAAAAGACAGCTTCAAAACCTCTGGATGGACAAAATAATCAATAATCCTGATGTTACCTGCACATGCTCCCATGGAGCGTCCAGCTACCAGACATCCCTCCACCAACTTGTGGGGGTCATGTCTCATGATTTCCCTGTCTTTACAGGTCCCTGGCTCTCCCTCATCAGCATTCACTACCAGGTACTTAGGCCTAAAGACAAGTAGACAGTCAGTCATCAAAAAATATTATTTCAAATAAATACAGTGAATAAATGTACTAAATGACATCCATATTAAGATACTATATCTTAGACAATATACATAATAAATGATGACAGGTTTTTACTGATCCCTTACCTCCCATCACTTGGCTTGTTCATAAAGCCCCACTTCATCCCTGTGGGAAACCCAGCCCCGCCCCTGCCTCGGAGGCCTGATGTGGTAATCTCTTTCAAGATCCACTCGTGACCCTTTAAGAGTATTTCCTTTGTTTTGTACCAGTCTCCCTGTTTGTGGATAAATACAGAGTGTATTAACAAATTTACTGCTTAGAAAATAATTTATGTTCATTTATTCCATACTCTGCATATATATAGTAAGGTAAACCAACAGTTTCCCTAAAATGTGATAAATTATCAACATGACTTTTTCCAAATATGAAAACTCTGTTGTTTTGGGAATTTAGAAATATCTTCTAAGACAATGAATGTTTTTTGTGTAAACAATTTATACCCTACCCACATGTACTTACAGTGTGGATGTTTCTGTGTATAACTGGATGGTGAGAGCATTAAAAATCCCATTTAATGATTTTACTATTTCATTTAGATATTCTCACTTTATGTTCAATGAACATAGGTAATCAGAGATTACAGAGCTCACTTCAACAAATGTTATCTTTAAGCAAGGTAAAGTCTCACATTGAACTAATAATCTAGTATTAAATGTGCATCCCTAGATGCAACATTTATGCAATTTTGGTCTGATAGGGTTTGCAGTTACTTGGGAATGGACTTATCTAAAAACTTTAAACTAGTCACTCATTCAGAAAATGTGGGTCAAATCCAGCATCTGAAGCAAGTTGACAATTGTGTTCATCCTTGATGCATCATCTGTACGAGTTTGATTTAGATAGGACTTATAGTTACTTTAGAATGAACCTGCTCCAAAACCTTTTAACCTGATCAATCATCTGGAAAATGTAGATCAAATCCAACATCTGAAGCAACCCTGGTTGTGTGCATCAACTGATGCATCATCCATGCATGTTTGATTCAGGTAGGCCTTACAGATTCTTGGTCATGGACCTGCTCCAAGAACTTTAACCTGGACCCAAGACCATAAACTGAGAACAGACTTAAGTCAAAATTTCAAATCAATATATCTTTTGAAATAATTTTGATAATGAAACAAATTTTTTATCATATGTTTAAATTTGAATATTATACAAACCTGCAAAATTTTAAGTACGTTTGTTAAAAAAAATCCCAAGATATTCAAAATCAAAATTTTGACTTAAGTCTGTTCTTAATTTATGGTCTCGGGGCCTGTTAACTCATCTGGAAAATGTAGGTCAAATCCCGCATCAAAAGCAACCCTGGTAGTGTGCATCAATAAATGTATCTTCAGTGCAAAGTTGGTAAGTTAGCATAGGGCTTATAGTCACTTAAGAAATAAACTGCTCAAAAACTTTTACTTGATCACCCATCTGGAAAATGTAGGTCATATCCAGCATCTGAATCAACTCTGGTAGTGTGCATCTTTAGATGTATCATCCATTATCATCCATGCAAGTTTGGCCAATATAGGCTTATAGTAACTTGGAAACGAGGCCTGCTCCTAATACATTTACCTGCTTGAAGAACATTAACCTGGTCATTTTTTTACCTGAATTTGTAACATCTGAAACCTTAACTGGTACAGTGAAACATACTAGAAGCATCGTCCATGCATCTCTGATTAATATAGGGCCTAGAAGTACTTGAAAAAAAATCTGCTCTAAAAACTTTAACCTGGAACACAGATGCCGACACCAATGAGGAGGGTATCAGATAAGCTCCCCCCAACTTTGATGAGGTGAGCTAAAAAATGCAAAAACAGAAAATAATAAAAAAGGTATCATTTACCCTAGACATAGCTCCCTTGAGTTTCCAGTCATGTCTGCCGTACAAATTTGTGAAGATTCTGTCCTCATCTTTTAATGGTCCGTATGTACTCTACAAGGAGAAGAAGTCAAAGTTTTAAAACTACAAAGACAGTGCTAATCAAAATTACATGGAATTTTAGAACAAAATCCTTGAGCTTGTTAACTCCTAAAAAATCCTTTAATGTTGACAGATTTGAAATTCTCATTACTTCTACTCCTACAAGTAAGAGTCTCGGTTAACGTCCTTACGCTCCTTATATACCTCAGACTCTTACATCCAAAGGCCATTTTCTAACGAGCTCGTTCCGCCTGAGATTTTTGGCGGATCATATTATGCTTGAAATAAACTGTAAACAAATAATTCTCAGGTACCTACGTGTTTGCATGGGGTATAAAAGTCACAAGAAATTTTAAAATCCACTTTAATCAGTATGCATCATTGTTCATTAATCAAAATTGTCATTATTTCAATTTGTCACCAGAATTACTTTTGATTTGACTTCATGTTGATTTTGCGGATTGCTAGTCAGAAAACGAAAATTTCAGTTATTTCATATCGGAAAACTAGTTTCATTTCATCGGATTTTCTGCATTCCATTCCCGAATTTCAAACAGATGACTTGTTGTAATTTCTGCTTCAATTTTAAAAATAATGGATTTATCGCTAATATGAGAGATTAACATTGTTTTATGTGTAAGTTATATTTGCAAATAGTGAATATTTTATTGTTTCGTGTCGTTCATTAATGTTTTAAGCCTGAATTTTTAATTAAACAATTTATTTCCATTTAGGGTTTCAGCAGCGAGAATTTTTACAATGGATGCTAGAGGTTACGCGGCACCAAGTCAAAAGTATCTCGCTGTGAACCTCTAGCATGCTGGAGTAATTACTTGCATACTTTTGGAAATTGTATTATTTCAAATCCTTACTTTTTGAGGATTTTTGAATGCTAAAAATTCTTAAATATAGACAATCTGAGTATTAATGAATAACTCTAGAAATGATTTTATTAAACACAATATGAATCGTTTAAATATTCATCAACAATGTGCTACCAATATAAAAATTAAGTACTCTAAAAAAAGGTTTACCTTCAACCATATATAAAAAAAACATATAAACAGTTAAGACTGATGTATTTCTTACCTTACATCTTTTCTGGACAATAGCTAGCTGAGCCGGAGAATTCTTAATTCCTAAAAATGAGAATGGATCGAGTTAACATCTGTTTCATAACAATATTCAATATTCTCTGTACAGGCTGAAAATCCTTGAAAGTGATACTTTAAACATCACCAATACCTTTCCAAGAAACAAGTGATTTTTCATTTTTAGATGACAATTCATACTTATCGGGGTTTTTTCCCTTGAAAATTTATAAGACAGTGAACTCATCGACACAAAATTGACACAACAGAGAAAATTCGAGTAATTTATACTGCTGCAGTTTTTCAGCATTAAAATCTAGGTTTAAAACATCAATTACCTTTCGCCAAATTGATAACATACCTGAAAAACACGAAAGAGACAGTGGTACTCGGCTCAAGCTAGCCATATTTGCATAATAATTTTTGTTTCTGTCCTTCGAACGGTTTTGTAACTTCTTACGTCTTTTCAATGTTTTGTAATGAAGAAAGTCATTACAAAGCAAAACCAGCGCCCTACTTTTTCCCGGAAAAGTTAGTTTAAACAAATGGTTCACCCAGAGACAGGCTCTAATTTAGTCAATTAATTTTGATGAGCGTAGGCAATCGAATCTCAAATAGGCCTAGATCAAAGAAAGTACTGTTCAAAACTTGAACAGCTGTTGATACACTATTTTCTGCACATTCAATTGATTATACAGATCAAAAAAAAAAAAAATGCTGTAATGAAGAAAACACTATGCGAAGGAAATTGACTCTCCTTATCTTTTTCAGAGGATTCCGTGTGTCCAAAGAGGGATCCAAAATTTATTTACTTTGAAAATCCAGGGGGACCCCCTCTAGATCCGCGCATGTAATTTATGTATCCCGAATATACTTGCAAGTTGTTGGCCAGTGCATGGTATTAATCTTCAAGACAAAAATTACTTAGATGAACTACTCATGCTACTAGAATGATCATCCAAAGAGGATCTTTCTTCCGATGTCTTTTATGATATACAGCTTTAGTGTACATTGTATACCAGAATTCACACCCGATGTCTATCATGATACACAGCTTTAAGTGTACATAATCATTGTTTAGCAGAATTTACATCCGATATCTATCACGATATACAACTTTAATGTATATTGTATATACCAGAATTCACACCCGATTTCTATCATGATATACAGCTTTAGTGTAAATTGTATACTAGAATTCACACCCGATGTCTATCATGATACACAGCTTTAGTGTACATTGTGTACTAGAATTCACACCCGATGTCTATCATGATACACAGCTTTAGGGCACATTGTATACTAGAATTCACACCCGATTTCTATCATGATATACAGCTTTAGTGTACATTGTATACTAGAATTCAGGGTTAGGGTTAACCCTGATGTGATTTTCTTTCTGATCTGTGAATGAATAATTTGGAAAATCACTTAAAATATAGACAAGAAACGCATGTCAATGAATCAATGAATAAAAAGTGGCAATTGATAATTATTCATGTGAACCTGTACAATTCCTTTCAAAGGGAAAACGGACGAAACACTGGTTTATTTCAGTATTTATTTATTTATTTATTTATTTATTTATTTATTTATTTATTTATTTATTTATTTATTTATTTGTGTAGCACGTCATCAAATAGTGGTGAAATGAGCCTCCTTGAAACAATAAAACAATTTTTCTCTGAAAAAAAGACAACATGTAAATAAAAGAGCTAATATCAGTCTTTCCATGCCATGCATGCTGACAACATATTTCAAAAGAGATTACTTAGTAGGCCCGTAGCAGCGGTTTCAAAAGTCGGGGGGGGGGGTTAAAAAAAAAAAACAAACAAAAAACCTAAACTAACCAAAAGGTGAGAGGGGTGGGGTGGGCAACTTCCCAAAATAATCTGACAAGCCAAAATAAAAAAAAAAACTTAAAACTTATCCTTGTCCAAATCCTGGAATTTTTATGTTTTATTAAATTTAAAGTTTAAAACATTAAAATTCATAATGCATTACCTTATAAGTACATAAAGATGAGATATCTAATCGAAACTGAGGATTGATATTAAAATTTCTAAATGTCTGACTTTGTTAGCTGCTGAATAAAATGGACCTATTTTCATTTAGCCTAAAGATCATAAGCCCATCGAAAAATTGGCGTTAATGCTGTACATATCATAATCGACATATAAGTCCAGGAGAGGTGCAATAAGCATGATTTTGAAGGTTTCCCGCGGTCTTGGTATCTAACTAGTCCTTCAAGCAGGCACTCGGCATACCTCGGACGATTACATCAATGATTTGATGTAGGGTACCATAGTCATCCGAGGTGAGCCGAATGTCAAGCAGGTGCGCGTTTATGAGAACCAGTTTACAGTCAATTTGGATGTCGTAAAATTACCATAATAAAACCTTCGTGACAACGACATCAACAATATCGGAAAAACGACCTGTGTTAGTGAAATGCATGTTGATGTTCTTTCTTTATGGATTTTCACCCATGATATAATTGTAAGTATTTGGGGCGTATATTTAATTTAATGTACAATTTAAAAATATTTTTTTTTTAGGAATAGCCTATTCACTAGGAAAGCATTTAAATATGATAAAACAATAACTACACCACTGTACACATCGAGTTGATTCACACGATTGCCTTGCCTATAAACTATTGATTCAATGTTTCATAAACTGCTGGTGTTTATTTGAGTATACACACATAGATTTGACTGAACACGTTTCTTGGAATTAAAATAAACTTGCTTAACATTTTAAACACACACCAGGTTCAAAAGTCATTTACATTGACACAAACGAGTAAGCCTTTTATCATGTTTATTGGCACTAGGCATTAAAACAGTTTGCTCTATTGATAAGGCTGTAAACAAAAAATAGTTTTTATAAAAACTAATAGGAATTAATTTATAATACACATACATATACACATTAAATATTTTATAGACATCATGAATTGCTGAAATAGAAATAGATTAAAATCAGATGGATCAGTTGAGGGCAATTAATGACTGATGTATGGCAAAATTGATATTTTGAAATCAGGAGTGTTACGATATAGCAAAAGCATATCATGATACATTATGATTCATTGGAACTGACGTATCATATGATGTATATTTCACCTGAAAGTGAGTTTCATAGATCATTTTAAAATAATTTTTTATTCTCTGTTCTGCAATGAGAAGCTTTCTAAATCACAACTTGAAAGGTCAATAGGATATGGATTATTTCATCAAGTTTTAACATTTTTAAAATACAGTCAAATCTGATTATCTCAAACTCAGTGGGACTGAGAAAAAAATTTGAGATACCGGAGGATTTGAGATATCAAGGGTAAAATACTTAAAGAATAATGGGTAGGAACTTTCAAATCACTTTGACATATCCATGGTATTTGAGAATGTATCAGTGTTCAAGATACCGAAGTTCAACTTACATGTGATTACTAGGCTCTAAAACACAAAAATTAACAGCGTACACAGGTAAATGAAGAAAACCACCTATATTCAATTTGGGGCAAAATAAAACATGCAAAAGGATTTAACGTACTAAATGGCTTAAAAAGTGTATACATCACAATACACATTTTTTGTGTACCAAAATATTATGCAATTTTAAGCTCATTTGAGCCAAATAAGGCATAAGTGAGCATTTCTGATCAAATTTGTCTGTTGTTGCCATTGGCATTCTTGTAAACTTATTTTTTTTATGTTTTCAACTTTTTCTTAAGAACCACTATGCCAATTTCAACCAAACTTGCCTCAAAGCATTCTTGGGTAAACAGGATTCAAGTTTCTTTAAATGAATTAAGGGCCACACCCTCTTTCAAAATAGTGAAATTAAATTAGAATCTCATAAAAACCTTCTCAAGAACCACTGGGCCAGAGATGAAACTTATGTGAAAGCTTCATTACATAGTGCAGATTCAAGTTTGTTCAAATCATGAGCCCTAGGGTAGGGTGGGGCCACAATGGGTAATCAAAGGTTTCCATAGGAATACACAGAAAAAATCTTTGATAATCTACTCAAAAACAGCAAGGCCATGATCAGTCATATTTATATGGAAGCATCCTCAGGTAGTGTAGTTTCAAGTTTTTACAAATCATGACCCCTGGGGGTAGGGTAGGGCCACAATAGGATATCAAAGTTTTACAAAGGATGACATAGGAAAAATCTTTGAAAATCTTCTTCTCAAGAACAGAAAAGTCATGACTGGTTACACATGTTACATTTATATGGAAATATTCTCAGTTAGTGTAGATTCAAGTTTGTTCAAATCATGACCCCTGGGGTAGGGTGGGCCATAATATGTGATAAAAGTTTTACATAAGAATAAAAGGAAACAAAAATCTGCTGATAAAGAACAGCAGGACCATACTGACTCAGGTGAGTGTTGTGGCCCACGAGCGTCTTGTTTGTGTATTTTGGTATACTGGTGCACCAGTAAATTTATTACACCCCTATTTGAAATTAGGCTAATAATCAAATTCAATGTCATAAGCTAGCAAGCTTTTAAGGTCATTTTTCATTGAAAAGTCTTAATGTTTACAATTCAAATGTGTAATTATGAACATTATGAAATAGTTTTGAAGAGTAGGTCAATGGACAAGGTCACTAGTTCAATACTGTAATTATCACTATTTTATTTGCGAGAATATTTTTTTTTTTTTTGCATAAGTACGGGGATACTGTCTGTTGGTGAAAATTTCATATATTTTCACCAAATGATTACCTCGCAAAAATAAGGTGCTGCAAAAATATGTGAAATAAAGAAACTGTAACTTTAAGTCTGTATATAATTGATGCAAAATGGATTGGTGGACAGTGATGTTACTTTAAGTCTGTTATTTTATGTTTCTTTTAGTAAGAATCCATGTCCTCATGCTTATCCTGTTTTACTCTAAATTTCTTAAGGATGTGTCCTTCAGATGATGTTTGCTGAAGCAAAAGTTAATCCTTATAGACACATCATAATTACTTAAGATAAAGGTAGCAGATGCACACATCGTCCAACTCTGTAAAGTCTGCCCTTTAATCAAGGTATTGCTATTTGTATTCCATTGGAGATATCTTGGAAAATTGCCCTGTACTTCTGTCTGGTCCAATTACGCAGACAAAATCAGCTTAAAAACCATATTGACAATTCCTGCTGTGCATCAACATTTATATTATTATATTTTATACATCTGTATGACAAGGAAATGAGAATACTATGTTCACAGATTACAGATATATAAACATAAAAATACACAGTACATAGTCATTTTTAATACACAGAGAGATAAAATAAGCTGCAGGTAAAAATCACTGGAAAATCTGGCCCAAGGTCAGTGACCAGGTATCTCATCTATAATTAACAGGTGTTAATGCTTCAGGTGTAACAGGTTTTTCTTTATGTCTTTTACATATGTCTCTGGTGGTCTAGTGATCATTAATGTTGATTATTTAGGATTATCAAAACATTTGTTTCTCTCTCTCTCTGGATTGCTGTTTACAATTACAGATATATCCTGGAAGTTAAACTGTATTTGTTCTCGGGAAGCCATTCTGGAAACGTAATTTATTGAGATATAACTAGAGCATTTAAGTACGTTTAGCGGAATTATAGTAGCAGCTAATTCCCTTACCTTTATTATACCTGAAATTCAAGTTTATTTAGTAATGAGCACCAGAGTGTTTAATGGGCAAACAAAGAATGAAGTACCTCGGATATAATTGTGCTCTTACGGACATTTACCCAGAATTCAAATCTCATGGCTGAATTTTGAAATCAAGTAATCTGTAGGAATAACACTTTGGTCAGGGAATTCTATATACCTGTAATTCTCAATCTTTTAAGTAATAATGACAAGGTAATATTAAATAAATTTATGAGTGGAAAATTTTTTTAAAGAAAAATTGTATTTGTGAAATTTTGATTGTCAGTTTACTACTTGAGATTTATGTTGACAGCTCACCAGTTCAGAAGGATGTATCCAGAATAGAATTTGACGTCCACAACAAGGAACTGAGGGAGGAATCTTCATTATCCAAACAACAAATTCACGAAGAAATTGAACAACTTATCAGAGCCATGGAGGTGAAAACTTCTGCTATTTCTTAATACTGTAAACCAACTATTATTCATTTCATCTTTTATTCACGATTCTTCAGTTTGAAATCAATCCGCGACAATTAATTTTTGCAACAGAGTAAATATTCTATATAAATACATACAATGTAGTAAAATAAATGGTTCGCGGCTATTAATATTCGCGAGATAAAAAAGGTCGCGAAACTCGCGGATATTTCTCGTACGCCAGTAAAAGTTGGTCTACAGTAGTTATTTAGAACTTTGTTTGATATGCATCATCGGAACCCACAGGTTTTCTCTCCAAATATTCTACATTCAACAAAGAGAAAACACATGGGGTTCTGATGATGTTTGATATAAAGAGGATGTCATTTTATTTTTGATGTTTTTTCACTTAGTCAATGTATAATATGATTGAGTAATAAAATTATTTTAATATATAGATTAACTTGTTTATAGATCAACCCCGGTCAGTTTGAAAATTTGGCCAAGATGACCAGAATGGCTATTCCCTCGTCTTCTATGAGCCCAGCTGTAAAAGATGTGCACACTGCTGTCAAACTTCGCAATGTTCACCCTCCATCCGGAATCCATACAGGAAGTCAGAAACGGAGCTTTTACACGGACAGTGACACAGAACAGACTGCCACCCCACGGCCATCAAGTTACCGTAGCTATGACAAAACACAACAAACCAAAGACAACTCCCGGCTACTCTTTTACAGGGTACGTACGTAAATCTGGATACGTCTCCACCCACTCCATATATAGGAAGGTACTGGTAATAAAAAATTACTTGGTCTTTCTTAATGGTTTGAAATTTATTTATACACTGCACAACAGTCTCATTTAAGACCCATAAAAACTTAATCTTACCCATAAATTGTATTTCTTTTCCCCAGCTTTTAGCTATGGTGCTGTAATATATATCTCATTCTGAAGAAAATGTACCTCAGTGCCAACATATAATATTCTGAGAGGGCCCATAAAGTGTTGCACTGCTACCCAATTTCATAATTGTTTCAAAATTTTAGTTTTATATATATATAGTAAAATACTGTCTAAACCAACATCTACATGTATGTTAATGATGGACTCGGGAACACAGGTGAGATAAACACACACCTGTACGACTTTATTTACTAAACCTACATAAACCAAACAGTGTTATGGAATGTTCCCTTAGTATTTTTAAGTACTTAACTATAATCGTTCATGTTAAAACATAATCCATTTTAACAGTGCAATAACTTTACATATTCTATTTAAAGAAAGGTACATATAAAGACCTCTTTTTTTAAATGCGTAATTGTACTTTTAAATAATTTTAGACTGCATTAAATGCAGTGACATTTATATTTCTTGGCTTCTGATATTTTTTTGATACAGGAGTAGTTAATTGATAAGACAGTGTGTACAGGTATAATATATTTTGAAATGTAATGATGTTTCCTGAAGTCAGGAATGGTCTATTTTTGTCAATTGGTTTAAAGGGCCTGGCTACATGAGAATTAAATTGGACTGTTTACAGTGCTTATAAATTGTTGACATGAAGATTTGAAATTAAAAGACCACAGGATTAGTGATGACTATAATCAGTAGTTAGTTATTAGTACAAGGATAACTGAGTCAATTATGGAACCAAATTTATATTTCTAATAACATAGTTTGTATCTGTCTTGATATATATATTTACTTGATACTGAATTGACTCGTATAGAATTCTGAATCAGCAGACACATGGAAGTAAATAGTTTAGTTAAATTGCTAGCCAATGAATACTTGTATTGTTTCAAGAAAAAGAAATAAACAAAACAAAACCCAAAAAACTAAAAACAGTATAAATGAGTGAAGGCAAATTTAATATGAATTCATTTGATTGTCAATTATTATGGAACTTTAATATGGAGTTGGAACACAAGGCAGCAGGCAAAAATCTGAATTTAGACATAAGCCATCTTTTGTCTGCATACTTTTGAACTAGAATATACAGTTAAATATTTCAAATGGAACTTTTTCCTGGTTTCAGGACCCTTTCCCGGGGGGAATACCAGTGGGAGAGGAGTTTTCTGTGGAGAATCGAGCTAATCTAGAAAGGATGAGAAACAGACAGATGCACAGAGAAAAACTCCGGCTAGCCCAGGAGCAGGTGAGAGAGAGAGAGAGGGATTGCTGGAGAGAGAGAGAGAGCAATCACTAATAGCCTGTTAGCATAGATAGAGAGATAGAGTGAAAGAGAGAGAGAGTAAATGTCTTCTCAGACTGTTGTAGGAGAGAAAGAGCAAGTAACTCTAATAGCCTGTTAGCATAGGTAAAGAGTCAGTCTGGATGACCCAAGAGTAGGTGTGAGAGAGATATAGTAAAATTCAGGCTGGTGCAGGAGAGAGAAAGCAAATAACTAAAAGCATGTAAGTAAAAGAGAGAGAGGAGAGAGAAAAAAGGGAGATTCTGATTTTCATAAACTATTAATAAAGCTGCACTATCTGTAAAATATGTGTAAGGAGATGCTTTGATTGATATTTGCACATTGTATACATCACTTTAGAAGGTGTTCAGAGTTTATGGAAACCATTTTGATTTGTTTGAACAGAGTAGCTACACTGATAAAAGGAAAAGAATATACACTAGAAAACAGCGAGACCAGAGGAGAGCGCAGCAAATGGCAGGTCACGTCTTGTCTCCGGAGGTCATGTCAGATATAGACAACAGGTACCACACACAGCATTCTGGGGGGTGGGGGTCAGAATTTTTATCTGTCCTCCTAATCTAACTTTCTCTTCTTTGCTTACCTATTTTGGGAAGTTCCTTTAGTTAAAACTTTAATTTTTGGTGTCTGTAGATACCCTCCGAGTGATGTGGGGTCAGAAAATCGGTGGCGCCGGAGCCGCAGTGGCTACTCTACCCCAGGGGGAAGTTGTGTAAGTCAAGAACAGTTTTTCAAATGAATGAGGTTTCAATAATTATCTAAGTTGGTAGATGACTTGAAATATAAATATTATGAACAAAGCTTTTCCATGATTAGAAATAATATTTCAAAGGAAAAGCAAAAAATAATGTCAATTTTTCAAACATCCATATCATATATGAGAAAGTAATAAAAAATATTGAAAATTGTATCCTTCTCTTCCATACCTGTTTTCCTTTCCAATGCAGGATGAAATGAAATTGGGAAGAAACATGAGAGCAGCTCCCCGTCACATTATAGACACCATGGATGCCCTCAGATCAGCCAATCAGCTCAGGGACAAGGTAATCTACCATTAAACTTTGGACTAGGAGCACTCAAAATAAATTCAGACTTAGGTACACTCCTAACAGACTCAGACTTAAGTACACTCCCCAAAGACTCAGACTTAGGTACACTACTAACAGACTCAGACTTCGGTACTACTCCTGACAGACCCAAACTTACGTAAACTTCTAGCAGACTCATATTTAATTACAATTCTTACAGACTCAGACTTAGGTACCTTCCTTACAGGCTCAGTCTTAGGTACACTCCTAACAGCCTCGGGCTTAGGTACACTTCTAATAGACTCAGACTTAGGTACACTCCTAACAGACTCAGACTTAGGTTCACTTCTAGCAGACTCAGATTAAGGTACACTCCTAACAGACTCAGACTTAGGTACACCTCTTACAGACTCAGACCTAGGTATACTCCTAACAAACTCAGACTTTGGTACACTCCCATTAGACTTAGATTTAAGAACACTCCAAATAGACTCAGATTTAGGTACACACCCAAAAGACTCAGACTTAGGTACACTCCCCACAGACTCAGGCTTAGGTACACTCCCAATAGATTCAGACTTGTGTTCACACCTCTCCGACTCCGGTGCACTCAAAATAGCCTCAGACTTAGGTACACTTCCAATAGACTCAGACCTAGGTACACTCCCAATAGCCTCATATTTAGGTACACTCCCAATAGAGTCAGACTTATGCACACTCCCAATATACTCAGATTGAGGCACACTCCCAATAGACCTCAGACTTAGGTACACTCCCAATAGACTCAGACTTAGGTACACTCCCAATAGACTCAGACTTAGGCATACTCCCAATAGACTCAGACTTAGGAACACTTCCAATATACTCAGACTTAATTACACTCCCAATAGACTCAAACTTAGGTACACTCCCATTAGACTCAGACTTAGGTACACTCCCAATAGACTCAGACTTAGGTACACTCCAAAAAGACTCACAGCAGAAGTATTTATACTAAGGACAATGATTAGATATTAAAGCAAATAAGATGTACTACTATATACCCTAACAGATATGATTTTAAATTATAAAACATGTTTTTATTTCATATTTCCAAGTATTTCCCAGGAAATACCAGTAAATCCCAGGAATTACTAGTATTACCCAATGTCATGGGAAATTTGAGTATTTCCCAGTTTTTTTTTTCCAACCTTGCATGTTGATCATGAAGCATTTCTCTATCCATCAAAATTTCAGGATTCAGTCAAGAGTAGTAGGATCTCAGTTCTTAGTTCCATTGTTATTACAGTGCCTTTAATTAGCTTTAAGTTTTTTTCCCAGTGTCTGTAATATATTATCCATATTTTATTTTAATTTCAGGACAAAATAGAAAGACTTAACAGACAGCAACAGCTTCTACAACAACAGAGAGACCAGAGAAAGAAATTCCTGGAAGAACAGAGACTACGTGAAAAAGCACAGCTGATGGTGAACGAAGCCCTACTGACAGAAGAACTTAGTAAACACAAGTCAAATAGATCTAGTCGGGAAAGCTTAAACGGGTTAGGAAGGCGATCTGTCTCAAATACTTCCCTAGTGAAACGTTCAGTATCTAATGGTTCCCTGGCTAAATGCTCTGTGTCCAATGGTTCCCTAGCAAATGCTGATGGAGAAATGGAAAAAGAGGACAAAATGTCGGACAAGGTTGACCCTGAACCTGAGGGGCCCTCTCAAGGTCGGATGTCAAGGCAGTCAAACCCAGCCTCAGAAAAAACGAACAAGAGTTCAGACTTTTTTGATAATGCAAGGATTGAAGGCCAAGGGATCCTGAATGATTCAGACAATGCAGAAGAAAATGATAAACTGATGTCTGCGATACGCAGTGAATATCAGAGACTGAGTACGTCGTGAGGATGAGAGGTCATTCTCGTATACTCAGTATCGGGATTCGTTTGAGCTCATTAAGGTTGCAAGCTTTATGTTATCATGTTTATATTAAATAAATGCATACATAACTTTGGTGCATTTCCCTCGCATTTTTGTCTGAATATTTTCAGTGAACATAAAAAAAGAGCATAGTTACTTTTTTGTGTGAAAAAATAACAATTATTTGTGATATTACACGAATGAGATAAAATTCCTTTGTGATCTATACATTTGGACACTGATGGAATTGTAATTAATGTATTTTTTCTGATTTTTACTGAAAAGATAAAAATAATTTCTGTTCCAGGAAAATGTATAATAACTATAATTTTGAAAAACAGTTCAGTATATAAGTACTTAATTTTACTTATTTAGAACTAGAAGGCAATTGTTTTGCATTTTCATTTGTAGGAAAATAGTTTTCAGGCAAATATATTTAATAGATAGCAGCATTTTCATTATTTTGATTCTGTCTATTGTAATAAATATTATAGTTACGTGTATTTCACAAGAATTAACTTAAAACAAAGATTTCTTAATGAAGTCAAAGCTAGGTACTTGAATTATATTGTGTTTTGGACATTGTTAAATGTATTTCTTACTACAACAAATTCTTCTGAGAACAGGTAGCGTTTAATTTGTGTACTACAGAAGTGATAAAGTTATACCTGTACATGTACGTAGTCTGTGATCAGTATTTAATCGGGTAAGGTCATCCATGGTTCCATGAACTAGAGGGGTGATTTGCATTTTGTTCTCCATCAAACCAAATACATTTTATACCATTACAATATTGTTTAGAGGTTTCTTTACCTTTACGACAGGTGTATGCCTGGTCTGTGATGATTATGTCAGTATGAATGCAGTTCTTGATCACTGCAGCTTTATTTTTGTACTTATGTATTTATAGAAGTGAGTAGTGTACAGTAATTTGTTAGTCTGTTAAAGGGTGATGAAGGTTTTATACGTAGTTTACAAGGAATAAAATTAAGAAATAGAATGTTCATTTGCTTTGTGATCCTTGTATAGACAAAATGTCAGTATGTATTTAAGACTGAATGTACAATGTACAAGCTTGAGCAGTACACCATTGAATATATTTGGGCAGTAAACAACAAATTGATTAAGGTATTATACATTTATTTGAAGTCTTTAAACAGACAGATTAAGATCTACACCTAGAGCTTTGCTATATACAGATGAATTTTAAAGATTTAAAATTGTGGGAACAATATGCATACACAATGATTTAAATATCCCATATATTGATATTTTCATGCTTTTAATTACATGCATTTGTAAATCCACACCTGAAAGGTATTTACAACATAAGAGAATTACACTCACAAAATATTGATTGGGGCATTGCATTTTCTGGCCCATTCTTTTAGCTTATTGATAAAGATTTACATTTACTGCTGAAAAATCCTTAACACTAAAGACAAGCCTTTATTGATTTACGAGTTGTTGCTAACACACTTTGTTAAGAGAGATGAGTACATGACACTTTTGATTGAGAACACAGAGAATTATTACAGCATAGAACTTGTCAACCAGAGTTTGATACTGCCACAGGGATATGGTGGTGAGAAATCTACCTAAAGAAAGAAAAACAAAACATCAAAAAAATACAATCCCAGTACATTATGTGTTACAAATGCAAAACTTGAGGTCAATTATGCATCTTTAAAGCCATAGCTTTGTGGTTGGAATCACTGGTCCAGCCATGTCTATTTGATAGAATACACACAGTAGTCTCATAGCTATGTCTATCTAGTGTAAGATACAGTAGTCCTATAGTCATGTCTATGTAATGGAATACACAGTAGCCAAAATATGCAGTGGTCTAGTATTCATGTCTATTGGTGGAATGCATTGTTGTCTCATAGTCATTGCTGTTGGTGAAATACACAGTAGTCTCATAGTCATGTCTATCTTGATGGAATGCACAATAGTCTATTAGTCATGTCTACCTTGATGGAATGCACAATAGTATAATAGTCATGGTTATTTGGGTGGAAAGTATAGTAGTATAATAGTCATGGCTATCTTGATGGAATACAAAGTAGTTTCATAGTTATGTGTATCTGATGGAAATACACAGTAGTGTAATCATGACTATCTTATGGAATGCACAGTTGTCTAATGGCTATCTGGTGGAATACTCAATACTATAGTTTTATAGTCATGTCTAGCTGGTTGAATACAGAATACTGTAGTCTCATATAGTCATGTCTAGCTGGTGGAATACAAAGTAGTCTTTTAGTCATAGCTATCTGTGTAGAATACACAGTAGTGTTATAGTTATGATTATCTGGTGGAAAACACTGTAGTCTCATTCTAATAGCTATCTAGGTAGAATTAACACCAAGTAGTCTCATTCTAATAGCTATCTAGGTAGAATTAACACCAAGTAGTCTCATATTCAGGTCTATCTGGATGGAATACAAAATAGTCTAAAAGCCATGGGTACGTAGTGGAATACAGTAGTCTCATAGTCATATCTATTAGTGTGGAATAACATAATAGTCTCGTCATCAGGACTATTGTTAGAATAAACAGTAGTCTCACAGTCATAACTATCTGAAGGCACAGAAATCTCATAGTCATGGCTATCTGGTAGAATAGACAGTAGTCTCACAGTCATAACTATCTGAAGGCACAGAAATCTCATAGTCATGGCTATCTGGTAGAATAGACAGAAGTCTCACAGTCATAACTATCTGAAGGCACGGAAATCTCATAGTCATGGCTATCTGGTAGAATAGACAGAAGTCTCACAGACATAACTATCTGAAGGCACAGAAATCTCATAGTCATGGCTATCTGGTAGAATAGACAGTAGTCTTACAGTCATAACTATCTGAAGGCACAGAAATCTCATAGTCATGGCTATCTGGTAGAATAGACAGTAGTCTCATATTCATTTCTGTTTGGAATACACAAGAATATCATAGTCATGACTACAGGTACTTGGTGAAATACACAGGGGTATCATAATCATGTCTTTATACATGTATAATTACATATGTAATACACATTTATCTCAAAGTCATGGTTGTCTGGTGAAATCCACAGTAGTCTCATAGTAATTGCTATTTTAGTGGAATACACAGTAGTCAAATAATCATTTTTATCTTGATGGAATATACAGCAGTCTTGTAGTCATGCCCATCTTGACTGAATACACGGTAGTTTCATAATCATAGCTTCCTGGTAGAATACACAGTAGTCTCTTAGTCATGACTATCTGTGTTGAATACACATTAGACTCATAGTCATATCTATCTGTATAGAATACACATTAGACTCACAGTCATGACAATCTGGTAGCATACATATTAGACTCATAGTCATGTCTATCTGTGTGTAATACACAGTAGTCTCATAGTTATGTCTATCTGATGGAATACACAGTAGTTTCATAGTCATGTCTACCATGTGTAATACACGGTAGTCTCATAGTCATGTCTATCTGGTGGAATACATTGTAGTTTCATAGTCATGTCTACCATGTGTAATACACAGTAGTCTCATAGTCATGTCTACCTGGTGGAATACATTGTAGTTTCATAGTCATGTCTACCATGTGTAATACACAGTAGTCTCATAGTCATGTCTATCTGGTGGAATACAATGTAGTTTCATAGTCATGTCTACCATGTGTAATACACAGTAGTCTCATAGTCATGTCTATCTGGTGGAATACATTGTAGTATCATAGTCATGTCTATCATGTGTAATACACAGTAGTCTCATAGTCATGTCTATCATGTGTAATACACAGTAGTCTCATAGTCATGTTTATCTGGAGAAATACCCAGTAGTCTCATAGTCATGTCTATCATGTGTAATACACAGTAGTTTCATAGTCATGTCTATCATGTGTAATACACGGTAGTCTCATAGTCATGTCTATCTGGAGGAGTGCACCGGAGTTTCATAGTCATGTCTATCATGTGTAATACACAGTAGTCTCATAGTCATGTCTATCATGTGTAATACATTGTAGTCTCATAGCCAGGTCTATCTGGAGGAATACACAGTAGTGTCATAGTCATGTCTATCATGTGTAATACACAGTAGTCTCATAGTCATGTCTATCATGTGTAATACACAGTAGTGTCATAGTCATGTCTACCATGTGTAATACATGGTAGTCTCATAGTCATGTTTATCTGTTTGGAATACTCAGTAGCCTCATAGTCATAGGTATATTGAAGAAATACAATATAGTCTCATATTCATGACTATCTGGTGGAATAGATATTAGTTATAGTCAAATGTATCTATGTGTATTACACAGTCGTGTCATATATTCATTACTACTTGGATGGGAGTTTCATGGTCATGTCTATATGGGTGGAATAGTCAGAAGTCTCAAAGTCATATCTGTCAGGGTAGAATACAAGTACATGTATATGTAGATGCATAGTCAAGACTATCTGGGTGCAATGCACAGTAGTCTCATGGTCATTGCTATCTGGATGAAATACACATAAGTTTGATAGTCATGTCTGTCCAAGTGGAATTCACAATACTGTAAGTAGTCTTAAATAGTCCTGGGTATTTGGAGGAATTCACAGACGTCTCATAGTCCTGGCTACCTGGTGGAATAACAGAGGTCTCATAGTCCTGGCTATCTGGAGGAATACACAGAGGTCTCATAGTCATGGCTATCTGGAGGAATACACAGTCAGGTCTCATTGTCATGGTTATCTAGAGGAATACACAGTCAGGTCTCATAGTCCTGGCTATCTGGAGGAATACACAGAGGACTCATAGTCATGGCTATCTAGAGGAATACACAGAGGTCTCATAGTCCTGGCTATCTAGAGGAATACACAGTCAGGTCTCATAGTCCTGGCTATCTAGAGGAATACACAGAGGTCTCATAGTCATGGCTATCTAGAGGAATACACAGAGGTCTCATAGTCATGGCTATCTAGAGGAATACACAGAGGTCTCATAATCATGGCTATCTAGAGGAATACACAGTCAGGTCTCATAGTCCTGGCTATCTGGAGGAATACACAGAGGTCTTATAGCCCTGGCTATCTAGAGGAATACACAGAGGTCTCATAGTCCTGGCTATCTAGAGGAATACACAGAGGTCTCATAGTCATGGCTTTCTAGAGGAATACACAGTCAGGTCTCATAGTCCTGGCTATGTGGAGCAATACACAGAGGTCTCATAGTCCTGGCTATCTAGAGGAATACACAGAGGTCTCATAGTCATGGCTATCTAGAGGAATACACACTCAGGTCTCATAGTCATGGCTATGTGGAGCAATACACAGAGGTCTCATAGTCATGGCTATCTAGAGGAATACACAGTCAGGTCTCATAGTCATGGCTATCTAGAGGGATACACAGAGGTCTCATAGTTCTGGCTATCTAGAGGAATACACAGTCAGGTCTCATAGTCCTGGCTATCTAGAGGAATACACAGAGGTCTCATAGTCATGGCTATCTAGAGGAATACACAGAGGTCTCATAGTCATGGCTATCTAGAGGAATACACAGTCAGGTCTCATAGTCATGGCTATGTGGAGCAATACACAGAGGTCTCATAGTCCTGGCTATCTAGAGGAATACACAGAGGTCTCATAGTCCTGGCTATCTAGAGGAATACACAGAGGTCTCATAGTCCTGGCTATCTAGAGGAATACACAGTCAGGTCTCAATAGTCCTGGCTATTTGGAGGAATACACAGAGGTCTCATAGTCATGGCTATCTAGAGGGATACACAGAGGTCTCATAGTCATGGCTATCTAGAGGGATACACAGAGGTCTCATAGTCATGGCTATCTAGAGGAATAGGTCTCATAGTCATGGCTATCTAGAGGAATACACAGAGGTCTCATAGTCCTGGCTATCTAGAGGAATAGGTCTCATAGTCCTGGCTATCTGGAGGAATACACAGAGGTCTCATAGTCCTGGCTATCTGGATGGAATTCACCGTAATCTTTTAGTCAGGATACACAGAAGTCGTAGTTATACTTATCAAGGTAGTATATATGGTACTCTTTATAGTCATAGTCATTGCTGCCTGTATGGAATACAATGTAATCTCATAGTCATTTCTATCCGGTAAGAATACCTACACTGTAATAGTCTTATAGTCAGGGCTATCTAGCTGGATAGAATACACAGAAGACTCAGTCATATCAATCTGGATAGAATGCAAGTAGTCATGGAATATACAGTTGTCTAATACCCATTCTGGTTAATTAACATTATTCTCATAGCCATGTCAGTTTGGATAGAATACGAACTAGTGGTCTAATGGAATACACAGTTGTCTAATACTGAATATGGTAAATTTAACAGTTACTAGTCTGTCAATTAGTAATGACTATCTGGTGGAATACACTGTAATCTTACAGTAATGACTATCTGGTGGAATACACTGTAATCTTACAGTAATGTCTATCTGGTGGAATACACTGTAATCTTACAGTAATGTCTATCTGGTGGAATACACTGTAATCTTACAGTAATGACTATCAGGGTGGAATACACTGTAATCTCACAGTAATGTCTATCAGGGTATAATACGCAAAAGCCTGATATTCCTATACCTGAGTAGGCAAAAAGTGCATGTGTAGAGCCACAAAAATCCTAAACCTACTTCGAAAAGGGAGGGGCCACACCGATTTCTCCCATGCATACATGTTTTTCAACTTTCAAAGAACCGTTTTTCCTAATGGGTCCCGGGTCATTTTTTTGTTACCTTACTTTATTAGTTTAATAACTCTGAAAATCCCAAGGGTGGAGCACGATGGGGGTTGCCCCCCCCCCATGTGAGTAGTATTACAATTAAAACACCTAGCTTTTGTAATTTTAGATGTTAATCAAAATTATCTTCATTTTTCCCATAATGTAACAAACTCAAATACCACATGTAAAAACAATTTATTTTTCTCCTCCCATGCGCGGATCTAGAGGGGGTGGGGTCCAGACCCCCCCCCCCCCTGGAATTTGCAGAGTAATTAAAAGTATATACAGAAGGCGTTATTACGCCTTTCCAAAAGGCGTTATTACGCCTTTCCAAAAGGCGTTATTACGCCTCTTATTTTCAATACATGACTTACTTAGCCCACACTGGGGGCTGATTATAATTAGATTTCCAGGAAAAAGATTTTTAAATGTGTAAAATATTTTCAGCGTTAAACCAGCTTAGTCCTTCTCTGATGCCAGACGCCTCTACCAAGGTGCATGGATTTCAGAAATTTGGTTGAAGGCCAATTGCTCATAATACCTTTGCAAATACTTTGCCTTTTTGACCAAGAGGAGAGGAAAATATTTCAAATTTGACATGATTTTTAATACGTGGCTAGCAAAGCCCAAAGCTGGTTCTGCCAAAATCCTGGATTTTCAAAAGTAGAGTTTTAGCATGCAAAATGCAAACAACTGTCTGCAAAATGCAAACATCTGAGATGTGCAGGAATATAGAAAATACTATAATTTATAATATAATTTATAATATTAAAACTATAATCTAAATATTGCATAAATAAAGATGGCTTTGGTTCAATCTTTCATATATTTACTTTTTTAAAATAACGCCTTTCCATTTTTGGATATAACTCCTTTTCAAACAGGCCGGTAGTACGAATGCGAGTGAGGGGAGGGGGGGGGGGGCTCCCCCACCCCACTTTTTGGGAGAATAGTCTTGCTATAGTTTAAATATAAAAATCATTTATTGATTGCTTGGTCCCTTAACATTTTGTTGCAGTATGGTTAAACTCGGGCAAGCCATTGCATTTAAAAAAAGTTTTACCGAAAAATTAGAAAAAGTTTCCCCTCAAGTTAAGGCAGTTTATTTTTTTTTCGGGGGGGGGGGGGGGAGGGGGGGTTGTTTTTTTGTTTGCTTGTCAATTTTATGGGAACCCCCCCCCCCCCCACACACACACACTTTAAAAGCACGGGCCTGTCAAAGACATAATAATGGCCCTTCAAAAGGCATAATAACGCCTTTTTGAAAGGCGTATTAATGCCTTTTAGAAAAGCGTAATAACGCCTTTTTAAAAAGCGTAATAAGGCCTTTTTAAAAGGCAAAATACTGAACGCCTTTTGGAAAGGCGTAATAACGCCTTTTGGAAAAGCGTAATAACGCCTTTTGGAAAAGCGTAATAACGCCTTTTGGAAAGGCGTAATTACGCCTTTATTTGCGTTATTACGCCTTTTTCCGCGTTATTTTTCAAAAGGCGTTAATACGCCTTTTTTCGCGTTAAAACGCCTTTTGAAAAGGCGTTATAACGCCTTTTAATTTTTTTTAACCGTAGTTTGATCCTAATAGGCTTTCGTAGAAAGGGAATTTAAGCCTTTTTTTAATTTTTTATTTATTTTTTTTTTTATTTTGTTTTTTTGCATGTAAAGAAATTTTTTGGGTAGGATTTTTTTTTTGGACTGAGATGGACCCCCCTCCCCCCTGGAAAAAATTCCTGGATCCGCGCCTTCCTCCGATCACACTGTGTGTTCCAACGAATTTCTGGGGAGATCAGCTGAATATAAAATAAAATGTGTGTTAAATTAATATTTCCACAACTACTGTGCCCCTGCACCTATAGCTAAGACCCCCCCCCCCCCCTTATATTTCACGGTCCAAGTGAGCTTTATTTTAAATCTGTAGTATGTAAGAAATTCTTACATAATTTTTTTTCTTCTACCAACAACTCTTTGAGCAGATTTTCATATGACATCGCCTTATTTTTGCAACTCATTATCTGATTATCTCCCTTTGTAAGGGATACTTTGGGGACGTCGAAAATGCAAAAAGTTTATCGTTACTGACATCAAACGACAGACAAACTTCAACTAGAAAAGCTAATTTGAGTCTTTATCTCAGGTTAACTTAAAACTGTGTATTTCTTAATACACAAATCAAGAAAAAGCAGGCCCGTAGGAAGCAATTACGGGGGAGGGGGGGGGACCAAACATTTTCAGTTGGAGGCGCACTATCAACTACCAAAAATTGATTGACAAGCGCAAAAAAGGTCATCAGACGTTATTATTGAGGGGGCACATGCATACAGTCGCTATGTTTTCTATAGTGTTCTATATCGGACACGGCCCCCGTGCCCCCCCCCCCCCGTTTCCTACGGCCATGCCATGAAGAAATAATATATTTTTTTCTTGTTGTACATAGATATACAGTATGGCCCACTTCTTATTGACCTTTGGTCCTGTATTTTTAAAAAATCGCAGATATCCGTAAAGCATGAGCGTGACGGTCAGATTAAAGATCGGGTTCGATATTCTTTCTAAAGCGGAAGTCACCAAGAATATCGGCAGTGGACAGGTGGGAGTGAACAAGTTAAAAGTTCTAAATGAAGTCTTAGACTCTTAATTACCACTACTGAGGTAAGGTTGTTTACTTTTTTCATTGTGTAGGTATTGTTACAGATGAAATGACTGAAAAATGTATCAGTGACCAAAACATGTAGTCTTACATAAACATGATTAAAGTCTTAATTTTGTCACGTATGTATCAGACATTCTGGTGCGTTTTATGTAGTTTTTATCAGCATCTTAGATAAAATCAAGTTCATGTACATCATCATGTTACTGCAAACACCGGAATACCTTATGTGTGTGTGTCAGTGTATTGCTTTGCTTTACTTCTTTTTTCTGTATTTACCCCCAATTCTGCTACTGAATGTCGCACAGTTTATATAGAAAAAGGAACTTGTTTATCTTTGAAAATTTGTACATATTTCTTAGCGTTTAAGTCAGATTTAGCACATGCAAAATACTATTGCTAAATTTCAGATATCATTTTACAGTCATAGATTTTACAGATGTAATTAAGACAAATAACAGTCATTCATATGTTAAATAAGGTTCTCTTAATTGGCAATAAGAGATTGCCAATTCTCAGGAGGTTATGGGGGATTTGCTCCCCCCACCCCACCACCACCACCAGACACTGTCCTTGACTGCTGGGGACTACTGCAGTACCCAGACCCCTTGTCATCTAAAAGCACCCCATCTAATGCAAAATCCTGGATCCACACCAATTTTCCTGGAGATGGCTCGGGCAATCTTAATGAAACTTTACAGAAATGATAATCACCAACTGTAGTTGTTCAGTCAAGGATTCCATATAGTGAATATCTATATATATCTATATATATACTGAGAGAAGCTAAGAGGTTGTTAATTGATGTTTTACTGTAGTATGATCAAGTTTCTGTAGGTCTATTTTAATTGATTTTTTCGTTTATTTTAGCATAGTCAAACATCTGTTTGTCCTTGTAAACAATGGAGGGACAGCTGAACAAGTACACCAATGTAGTGAAAGGCTGGCAGTACCGCTGGTTTGTCATGGATGCAGACTCTGGAATGCTGGAGTATTTTGAGGTGAGTTGTTCATCATGTAGTGAAAGGCTGGCAGTACCGCTGATTGTAATGGATGCAGAGTCCGGAATGCTGGAGTATTTTGAGGTGAGTTGTTCATCATATAGTGAAAGGCTGGCAGTACCGCTGGTTTGTCATGGATGCAGAGTCCGGAATGCTGGAGTATTTTGAGGTGAGTTGTTCATCATGTAGTGAAAGGCTGGCAGTACCGCTGGTTTGTAATGGATGCAGAGTCCGGAATGCTGGAGTATTTTGAGGAGAGTTGTTCATCATGTAGTGAAAGGCTGGCAGTACTGCTGGTTTGTAATGGATGCAGAGTACGGAATCCTGGAGTGTTTTGAGGTGAGTTGTTCATCATGTAGTGAAAGGCTGGCAGTACCGCTGGTTTGTAATGGATGCAGAGTCTGGAATGCTGGAGTATTTTGAGGTGATTTGTTCATCATATAGTGAAAGGCTGGCAGTACCGCTGGTTTGTCATGGATGCAGAGTCCAGAATGCTGGAGTATTTTGAGGTGAGTTGTTCATCATAGATCCAGGTTACTGAAATATTTTGAAATGAATAGCTAGAAAAGGACAAGGAATGCAGAATTGCTCAACATTTTCTCAAAAAAAAAGAGCAATTCCTGATAGAGGAACCCTTAGGAAAGTTTGGTTGTAAATGTTTCAGCTAAAACCCGAGGGTGCTGATATTTAATTACATCAGATTTTTGTGCCAGAGCATGCAGATTTGATGTTAATGTTTAGCTTTCTTGATGTTATTGCCCTCTGTAGCTACTTTTATGAAGAGAAGGTAAAGTTTAGATAACTTAAGGATTATGCTTCATGTTTGTGTCAGCGAGGACTTGCTGTAGACATACTTTTTTCCATATAAGATTTATAAATGCACACAATATGCGGCGGTCACAAATTTTCTGCCGAAAGTTGTCAAAGTTTATTTCAATAATTTAAAAAATTACTTCATTTTTCTTAGAATACAAGAAATCTGTGTAATATTTTCCCTATGGATTAATTTCCAAGGATTGTGATTCCGAGAATTATGGCTCTGTGGGAAAAGAGCCCCTGTCAAAAAAGAAAGAAAAAATGTTAAAAACCTAAAATCATAAATTATAAGTAGATTCTTCATAAAATTATGAAGATGTGTATAATTTTGCAATAAAATTTTATATTTGTGAAAATTATAATTTTCATCCCAACCTAAAATACTTAAGACAGTTAAACTTAAGTCACCCAATGGTATTGGCTTGGTTTTTCTGAACTTTAAATGATTTTTCAAAACAATTTCAAAACGTCTATTAACTGCTAATGCAAGACTGACTTTATAAAGATCATATCCTAACAAGGAAAAAAGAAGAGAAAATGATACACATAAAAAGGAAATAATTTCATTCAAAGGTGTCTTTACTGTATGTGCTTTAGACACATGAAAAGTGCACTTAAAAACCATAATGCATTAAATGGATGGGTGTTGAACTTAACCCAATTACATCTTTACTGATACTGTATCATGGACATTTATAATCACGACTAAGATACATTATTTATGATTTATAATCCTTTATTGATCACATGACAGGTCAACAGTAGACATACACTGTCCAGTATTATTAGGATTGACAGATTTAAATCTTTAGTAAATTCATATTTCTTTCCCTTTTCTAGAAAGAGGAGCACAAGAAACAGAGACCCAGAGGATGTGTCCATCTTGCGGTAATGTCTTAAATTGTTCATCTCACGGTAATGTCTTTAGTTGTCCATCTTGTGGTAATGTCTTTAGTTGTCCATCTTGCGGTAATGTCTTGTCCATCTTGTGGTAATGTCTTTAATTGTCCATCTTGCGGTAATGTCTTTAATTGTCCATCTTGTGGTAATGTCTTTAATTGTCCATCTTGTGGTAATGTCTTTAATTGTTTATCTGGAGGTAATGTCTTTAATTTGTCTATCTAGTGGTAATGTCTTAAATTGTTATTCTCGCGGTAGGCTAATGTCTTTAAGAAAAGTTTATCTTTGGTATTGTCCTACGGTATTAATGTTTTCATCTTGTAGTTATGCGTGTTCTTGAAGTTTTCAAGTCATTGTACTCTTCAATTACAATATAAAATGAATATTCACATTTTGTGGAGGTATTATTTCACAAAGAGCTAAAGGTTAGGGAAACAATACATACATTATTTAGTTGTGTTGGAGTACTTAGCTTTTTTCTGAGTGTTGACATCCTGTGTATACTTACTGATAATGTATTAATAATCATAATAGGTCAGGGCTTAATTACCCTTGTATCCAGGCATAATAAAAGGATTCAAATTGAAAATTGATTCTTTTTTCCCCAAAATTTGTGTAAAAATTCCCAAATGACAAGCACACCAAATTTTTCAGTGTTTTTTATATTTAAAAAACTTGAATTTTGAGATTATATAGATTCATAAAGATTTGAATAGGGAATAAGCCTTAAATCTAACTCCTTATCAACAGTTGAACATAATATAAGACAAAAACATTTCCACGTGTTCCAAGTTTTGTTACTTTTTTGATTTAAAATTTCCAATTGAAAAGGTAGAGGACCCCTTACTAAAAAGGGTCAATCAATCCCTGTAGGATTAGAGATTCTGTTGTATGTTATTACATGTGACTAAAAGCTGAAATTCAGATCAAATTACAAGACTAGTGTAATTCATTTATTGTAGTTCTGTGTGAAACTTGACATATTCTGTGTCTCAGATGCTGATGATGTAATTCCATCATTGGACATGTAAATACATGTAAATAATTAATAAGACATGTAAATAAATAATAATTTAAGACATGTAAAAAAAAAATAAATTATATGGAATTTTTTCATATTTTATTACTATTTTTTCTTATTGAAGAACACCATTATAATGATGTATACAGTATTAACTACATATATAAGATACTGAAACAGTTTTGTATCACTGAGTACAATAAAATCAGAAAGAAAAGGCTACTTACATTATAGTGTAAACTGTGCTAAAAGGGAGAAATCTTGTATAAAGCAAAAAGATTTCTAAGTTCTGTGAAGTTCTTTAGAGAGATGGTGTTAAAAATATATGGCATTTCAGTAAGTAAACATCAAAGCAGTAGTAAATAACTATGGACTTAGCTAAAGTCTTCATATTGTGAATTTGTTCATAAGTACCAGATGAGTACTTATATTACACTTTTTGTGAGTTTAAGGATCATGTAGACCATGTCTGTTTTCGGGGGCCCATGATTTCCCTGTCAGATGAGTGTATACTTTTTTGAGTTCGGAGATAATTGAGACCTTGTATGTTTTAGGGGGCTGTAATTTCCCCATCAGATGAAGATTCACAGACTTTCTCGGTCAGTGCTGCTAACGGCGAAATTTACAGACTTAAAGGTTGGTGTCTGACCTTTGTTTTATAACATACTAGTTATAGCATGTTTCAATGAATTTCCATAATTTCTAGAAAATTTCAAAATGATTTTTTTTATCCGTTTACAGCTGGCAGCACCAAGGAGAGACAACTGTGGATAGACAAACTTCGAACCACCGCGGAATACCACACAAATCACATGACAAGTGTAAGTTACACATGGCTCGTATTAATTAAATGACGACAGGAAAAAAATGAATTCAACATGTTTCTGGTCAGTAGAAAATTGTGGTATATTTTGCACAGGCTGAACAGATGTGAAATTTGTGCCTTATACACATTGTATATAATTCAAAGTCCAGGGTTAGGAAAAATAAGTGACTTAAAAAAACAGCAAAGAAGTTTGTTCAATGGAAAAATTTACAAATTTTGTTTGTGTTTATTAGGGTGGACAGCAAGCTCTTCGTCGTGAGTCTCGGTCTTCCTCGCTCTTAAAGACCATCACAGAAACGGGGTCGACCAGGAGGAGGCCAGACACGGCGTCACAGGACCTCCAACAGAGGGCACATAAAGCCCCTGCCCCCCGCCCACACACACTGGACCCATTCCGAGAGGTCAAGGAGTACATTTCTGAAGCCAACGACTATGCTGTTCATCTCAGGGAAAAAATTGATGTAAGATGCTTTTTAAGTAAAGCAGAGTACAGTTGTACTTCGGTATCTCAAACTCTGATATCTCAAATACCATGGATATGACGAAGTGATTTAGAAGTCCCAACCAATTATTCTTTAAGTATTTTACCCTAGATATCTCGAATCCTCTGATATCTTGAAGTTTTTTCTTGGTCCCATCGAGTTCAAGATAACGAGGTTTGACTGTATATAATTTAAATATTTATTATGGATACAATGACTTTTGTCTTATTCTGACACACCTGCTTTCTAGCACACTGTACCAGCCTGTACTGAGAGTTGTGTGGGGTCCTTAGTCTCAGCTTGTTTTTATTTATTTCAGAGTCTTTCTGTGACAGCAGAGCCCATAGGTGGTCTGGATAAAGTAAGTACTTAGTGGAAACAAATCATATGACAGCAGAACCCATAGGAGGTCTGGATAAAGTAAGTACTTAGTGGAAACAAATCATATGACAGCAGAACCCATAGGAGGTCTGGATAAAGTAAGTACTTAGTGGAAACAAATCATATGACAGCAGAACCCATAGGAGGTCTGGATAAAGTAAGTACTTAGTGGAAACAAATCATATGACAGCAGAACCCATAGGAGGTCTGGATAAAGTAAGTACTTAGTGGAAACAAATCATATGACAGCAGAACCCATAGGAGGTCTGGATAAAGTAAGTACTTAGTGGAAACAAATCATATGACAGCAGAACCCATAGGAGGTCTGGATAAAGTAAGTACTTAGTGGAAACAAATCATATGACAGCAGAACCCATAGGAGGTCTGGATAAAGTAAGTACTAGAGCAGGTCACTGTGTATACAAATCATATGAAAGCAGAGCCTTTAAGAAGTACCTACCAAACATAGAATGTTTATTTAAGACTTAGTGATATATGTCGGCAAAATATCCCAGTTTCTGATTGCTGTCAAACTCTGATTCCCTTACTTTCTTTGTTAACGTAGCATTTGAAATACATGTCTTGTATATGATCCATAATAAACTATTGGTGGTAAGATGTATTAATTGATTTTATTGTGGTTTATTTAAAATCTTTTTCTTTCCAGGACCTGCTCCTATTAAAAGCAACTTCAGCTGCAACCCTCAATAGCCTTGGGCATTGTCTTCAGATGCTTCAACATCAACAGGTAAATTTGTTTATCAATTGCTGGCACCGCCCACTTCCTGTCCATCTCACACATGAGAATGTCTCCCCATCTTACTCTGTTTTAGCTCTAGCTTAGCAAAGTCCTCTATTATTATTTTGTTTTCTACCTTAATCTCCCTCCTGTTAATAATATCTGAACATATTCATATCATGCCTGAATCTTTTGGGCAGTTGTTTGTTACACTTTATTCCTCGCTCGCTCTCTGTCCTTACATTCATGATGTTTAAAGTTAGGTTTACCTGCCCCAGCTTAAAAAAGGCCACAAACCTGGCTTTGAATAAAATAAGTACAACATGTACATTGTATATTTACAAGGTCATACCAATACATAACTACCCCTACCTGCAGAATCAGTTATGATCTTTTGTTTTTGTTCATATTTGAGTTATGTTTTCGTCAGAGTGAAGACGTTATTTTTTTTGATACATTTTAGGGCGGAGCCCCATATGATTGGCATGAATCGTTTACAAGGTTAGTGTGTCGTGATCCTGCTTTTTTTTTTTTATTAGTTCTTATAGTCTATGTTGAGCAATGATACTTTCACATTGATTTTGTTTGAATATCATTTCTTTACTAAATTTATTAGGTTTTATAAAATCCCTGTTTATATGTTGTCACATAATATGCCACCATTTTCTATTACTATAGAAGTCGTATACCAACTAGACGGACATGCAGGCAGTTGGTATCAAATGAAAAAGATATCACTTTATTCTTTCATATGCTTTTATCAAGTATCTTTGGTTTGGCCAGTAAACATGAAATAAATAACATCATTAATATTTCTATAGCTATTTTGCAATGCTTTATAAAGCTGTCTTTGGAAATCATTTACATGCATTTCATTTGCTTTCATTTATGCCATTGAAAAGTTAACAGAATTATACAAACGTAGCAAGTTTTTAATGTTAAAACAGGCGTGCACTTCCCTGCATATGTAAAAGGAGACTTGAATCATTAATTTTTATGCTAAGTACTTGTCTCTTTTTCTGGCACTAACATCTCTCTGACATGTAAATTAGAGATGTTTTAAGGTGCAGATTAAGGATATAAATGATCATTGTTTTAATTTAATCACCAAGTGAAGAATAAAAGCTTTTTTTTGCAGACTTTTGAGCAAGGTCCTATTTATGATGGAATGACTTGACTTAACCATTTATTTCTTCATCCCTATAGCAGTCAAAGACATATCTCAATATCAAGTAGCATAGAGGAGAGGAATGGGAGTTTCTCCTCGGTCACATCTGCCCCAGGACCAATCATCTTCCCCGAGGAGAAACCCGAAGGTCAGAGCTAGGGAATGTCTCAAAATCTGGAAAAAAAAGTTTCAAACCTACATTATATTCAAAATTAATTATATATTGAATTTTGTTGAATCAAAAAATAATATTTCTGAAATCAATAATTAGAATAAATATTGTTATAGTTTACAGTAACATTCAACTAATTTTGGAATGAGTTTTTAAGTCACTTTAGTCACTCAGGTGAGGTTTTGCTATTTTTCTGTCAATGTCTCATGCTGGTTAACTTTTCACTTTTTCATTTTTTTTTTTTCAAAATTATTGGGTCAGTTTCAGACAAACTACTCAGAGAGTATCTTTGGAGATGCAAATTCAAGTGAAAATTAGAAAGGAAAGTAATTGAGAAATAGTAAAAATCGGTGGGATCTTTTAAGAATTTTTTCTTAACCATTGAGCCAGAAACTAGAGCTTATGTGAAAGATTCCTTTTTAAATGAAGATCTAAATTTTCTAAGCTATGCCCCACCCTTGGTGAGAATATGGCCACAAAAGGGGGTTCAAAACTTAAGTAGAGATATTTATGGAGAAAATCAGTACTTAGGCACAGAAGAGGCTAAAATTTTACATATAAACATATTAAAAGAAATAGTTTAATGATTTTCTTTTAAGATCAACAAGACTACCTATTGTCAAACCTATTTGCAACAGTGCAAGCATCTAATCATGTAGTGTAAATTTATGTTTGTTCATGTTATTGGCATTTGGAATAAGTTGGGATAAGTTAGGGCTCTCAGGCTTTATAAATAAATCAAAGCACTAGAGAAGACAAAAGGACAATAAGGGAATTTGATGAAGAAAATTTGCTTTGTGTCTAAGGTGAGCAATTAAGTTCACGGCTCTCTTGTTTTATTCCTAATTAAAAGAATATGACTTTGATATTTTCCTTACCTTTCTTACAGGACCGATTAATCATGAAGATGAGGAAGAAGATGAGAAAGGTTACACAGACGAGGATCTATCAGGGGTGGAGGAACACAAAACAATCATCTTACATCTGTTATCACAACTTAAACTGGGCATGGACTTAACAAAAGTATGACATAACAAAAGTATGACTTAACAAAACTTTGACTTAACAAAACTATGACTTAACAAAACAAATCATTCTACATCTGTTATCACAACTTAAACTGGGGATGGACTTAACAAAAATATGATGATGTCTTCTCACTTTTCAAGTACACTATGGTAGATCTTTTTGTATGTGTTTGTTTTGACTGGATTTGTTCACTTTCAGGTGGTGCTTCCAACCTTTATTCTGGAGAGGCGTTCTCTTCTGGAAATGTTTGCAGACTGCATGGCCCACCCAGACATGTTCTTAAAGTAAGATGCTTTTACATTTATCAATATATTTTCTCCTTGGATTGTAATCATCATATCTCTGTCAGAACTCACCAATTTGACGTGGACTTATTTTGGTAAGACATTAAGATATATTTCCTATGACTTATATTCTACACGTATTGTTTATGTTACTCTACAGAATACCTGATCTCCCTGACCCCGAGTCCAGAATGCTGGCTGTGATAGAGTGGTACCTGACCTCATTTCACGCTGCCAGACAGGTGAAACACTGATACGCAATACATAAAAATTCGTTAACTTACATGTAAATCATAAATGTTTCAAGTTTATATTTTTTTGAAAAATACCACTAAATACAATTATTATATGAGGAAAGAATACAACACTACCAGGTATATGTGTGCATGCATGATATACTTTTAATTTGGATGAAATCTGTTATGGTTTTACAAATTGATATAGAAAAGTCATTTTGTTATACCCCACATTTGATTGGATTATGTTATTAAAAGTCATCATTTCATACTTCTGTCATAGGGATCTGTTGCTAAGAAGCCCTACAACCCAATCATTGGGGAGACATTCCATTGTTCCTGGAAGATTCCTAAGAAATCACAGAACATATCAAACAATAGTCAACTGGAGAGCTCTGTTGATGGGGTCACAGGGTCAAATGGAATAGATGGGTCACAGCCTAATGGTACTGATGGGGACTTAAAGCTGGTCTACTGTGCTGAACAGGTGTCCCATCATCCTCCTAGTAAGTCTGCTAGATTTCAGAACATCCAGTAAGTCAGTTAGATTCCTATCAATTTCCCAGTAAGTCTGTTAGATTTGTTTCAGTGTCCAAGTAAGTCTATTAGATTTCAGTCCTAATAAGTCTATTAGATTTAGGTCAGTCTCCCAGTAAGTCTTTTAAATTTCTGTCAATCTTGCAATATGTCCATCAGATTGCATTAGATTTCTGTCAATCTTGCAATAAGTCCATCAGATTGCATTAGATTTCTGTCAATCTTGCAATAAGTCCATCAGATTGCATTAGATTTCTATCAATCTCGCAATAAGTCAGTAGCCCTTTTCACAAAAAATCTTATGACTAAGACAAAAAAATTTCCCATTTTCTAACAAGTACTTGTATTTAAGTTGTAGTAGGTCACAAAAAATCTGACTATTTTTATTACATTAGATAACATAGTCAGTCATATTTTAGGAAAAAATAAATATCTTTATTAAAATATATCAGAGTTGTCAAATTTTTATCTTAGTTGTAAGTTTTTTTGTGAAAAGGGCTCACAGATCTCTGTCAGTCATGGACATTGATTGATGTATGGTTTGATAGCACCAGATATAATCCAAACCTCTACCTCCTGCAATATATGGTAGCATTACCATAAATTCCAGAAAGTAGTCAGTTTATAGTTCCTTATCTATACATTTGGAATGTACTTGTTTATAAATGATGTCAAATTAATCTCATCTTGTCTAAATATCTGCAACAGAAACAAATGTAATCTTGTAAAATTTGAAAAGTGATACATGTATATATGAGGGGTTTTTTTTCATTTCAGTCTCTGCCTTTTACTTTGAGTGTCCCGAAAAACAAATGTGTATGAATGCTTCCATTTACACCAAATCCAGGTTTTACGGCATGTCTATCGGAGTTAATCTGATAGGGAAAGGTATGTATATAGTGTTAATATCCACAAATTGTACCCAGTATCTGAACATATTTAAATAGAAACCATCTATAAAAACCCACCCTCAACGTTTTTTTTTTTTTTTGATATTAAAAAAATATTATAGTGAAGATTTAACATCATTGCAGCCTTTTTTGAGTGACCTTTGAACTGTCCATCTATTGCTTATTGCTGACGTGACCATGTATTTCAGTAAGTCTAAGATTACTACAGCATGGCGAGGAGTACGTTTTTGGGATGCCTAGTGCCTACGCCCGCTCAATCCTGACTGTCCCCTGGGCAGAAATGGGAGACAAAATTTCTATCTCTTGTGCCAAAACTGGATACTCAGCAGCTGTCACTTTTCACACCAAGGTAACCTTTAAGTGAAACACACTTTTAATATTATACAGTATTTGTTTTTAAATTATCCCGGTCATACTGTATAATAACATTTTTTAAAAAAATTTCCTTAGCTTTATACGAAAGACTTATGAGGTGCTTTGACAAATTTACAATGTAAGATATATATGTAAGATGCTGTATATGTTTGTGACTTTGCAGCCATTTTATGGAGGAAAACTTCACCGAGTGTCTGCAGAAGTGAAGGACAACTCAGGGGAGATAATCTGTCGCATCCAGGGAGAATGGAACAGTCAGCTGGAGTTCACATATAAAGATGTAGGACTGGATTCAAAAACTAAAATTGAATTCTTGTCTTACTTGTATTTGATCTTTGCATGTCAAAGTAGGGGACAACAATATTTATTTCCTATGTAGCTTGTAACATGAGCTTTGATTGGTTACAAAGTCTCGTGTAAATTTACGTACACCCGACTTGAGTGGGGGGTAAAAAATGTGATGTCGCAATGCATAATTTATGATAAAAAGCAAATAAAATGACGTCACGATGCATTGTCGGACGTAGTAAATCTTATCGATAGCTTGAAACACAGTTGATTGGACTTGTTTACAAAGAATTCATTTGGTAACATGGGAAATAAATTTGTTATCCAGGTCCAATCAAGGGTGTACGGGGATTTGCCCCGGGTTGTATTCCATACACCCTTCGACCTTCAGCCTCAGGGTGTATGGAATAAACCCTTGATTGGACCTGGATAATTAATAGTCTACATGTTTTTGTACTGTTAAAGCATTTGATACGAACACTGATATTGCGAATTCATGGATATAGCAAAGCAGGCCTCTAAGTGGCCTCTAAAATTTAGGCACCAGCTGGTGCCTTATCAAAAAAATTTAGTCGCCAATGCAAATTTTTAGTCGCCAGGCAATTTTTCTAGGGCACCAACTTTAAAAGTAAATAGAGTATAGGGACCCATGATGTGCCTAAGAAAAAATGACATGCCCATTGCTAAAAATAATTTCCTCTTCTTTTAAATTTCTTTTCGCTTTTTTCAGAAAAAATTATTTAAAAATGTGAAAATTTCTGGAATTCGACGATCGCCAAGTCAATTTAAAATGGTTGCCAATTTGGCAACTTATGGAAAAATTTTAGGCGCCATGGCGACTAAACTAGTTGCCAATTAGAGCCCTGCAAAGTTTTCTTGGATCCCCAGCTTTATACATTTTATGAATTCCTTAAATGGATATAATGAAATATGGATATTTGAAAGTAATTTCACAGGACCCAGTGACTTTATTTAGTTTTACTCTATTGATCTTTTAATGTCAAACAGTGAATTTCCAGAGGGCATTCAATTTTGTACTTTTGTAACTATGCATGAACATCAGAGTGTTTAACATGGAAAAAATACTTGTAGGTGAATTATGTACTTGACAATATGTTCTTTAATTTCTGTGATTGTAGGGTTCAAAGAAAACCATTGATGTTAAGGACATTCCTATCAGAAAGAAGCGAGTTCGGCCGGTGAAGTTACAAGGAGACTTTGAATCTCGTCGTCTCTGGCAGCATGTAACAAACGCACTCAAAGTGCATGATGTCAACACAGCATCAGAGCACAAGAGAGTGGTAAGATTCAGTTTTAACAAATGAGCATCAATTGTTGTCCATGTGTGTACAGTGCACAGTATATTAAGATACTTCTCATGAAGTCATTATGAAGATTTTATGTACAGAGTATTCACATTAGATATTAAGTATAACTAAATATTACTGTCCATTTTATTTTCAGCTGGAGGAGAGACAGAGAGAGGGAGAGAGACATCGAAAAGAAACAGGAACGCCATTCCCCACTAAGGTTACTGTTACTGAAATTATCAGTTCTTGTTAACAGTTGCTAATGCTGTGTAGCAATTTTTATGCCCCGCCATGAATATGGCCGGGGCATATAGTGTTTGTCATGTCCGTCTTCCGTCCTTCTGTCCTTCCGTCCTTCCGTCTGTCCTTCCGTCACACTTTGCGTTTAGCTCTGTTCAAAGCTCAGTTTCAAAGAAACTATCCAAGATATTTTTATCAAACTTCATATGCTGATAGATATTGATGAGGGCTATGCAACTGCATCAACATTTTTTGACCTTGACCTTTCCTTTGACCTCACTTTTCTTAAATTAGTGTTTAGCTCAGTTTTAAAGATACCATTCAAGATAGTGTAATCAAACTTCATATGTTGATACATACTGATGTAAGCTATTCAATTGCATCAACATTTTTTTGACCTTGACCTTTATTTTGACCTTGACCTCACTTTTCTTAAATTAATGTTTAGCTCTGTTTTAATGAAACCATTCAAGATATTTTTAACAAACTTCATATGCTGATACATACTGATGAGAGCTATTCAACTGCATCAATATTTTTTACCTTGACCTTTCCTTTGACCTTGACCTCACTTTTCTTAAATAAGTTTTTAGCTCAGTTTTAAAGATACCATTCAAGATAGTGTTATCAAACTTCATATGCTGATACATACTGATGAGAGCTATTCAACTGCATCAACATTTTTTGACCTTGAGCTTTCCTTTGACCTTGACCTCACTTTTCTTAAATTAGTGTCAAACTTCATATGCTGATACATACTGATGAGAGCTATTCAACTGCATCAATATTTTTTGACCTTGACCTTTCCTTTGACCTTGACCTCACTTTTCTTAAATTAGTGTTTAGCTCAGTTTTAAAGAAACCATTCATAATATTTTCATCAAACTTCATATGCTAATACATACTGATGTAACCTTTTCAACTGCATCAACATTTTTTGACCTTGACCTTTCCTTTGACCTTGACCTCACTTTTCTTAAATTAGTGTCAAACTTCATATGCTGATACATACTGATGAGAGCTATTCAACTGCATCAATATTTTTTGACCTTGACCTTTCCTTTGACCTTGACCTCACTTTTCTTAAATTAGTGTTTAGCTCAGTTTTAAAGAAATCATTCATAATATTTTCATCAAACTTCATATGCTAATACATACTGATGTAACCTTTTCAACTACATCAACATTTTTTGATCTTGACCTTTCCTTTGATCTTGACCTCACTTTTCTTAAATTAGTTTCTGAATCAAACGTCATATGCTGATACATACTGATGTAAGCTATTCAACTGCAGCAATATTTTTTGACCTTGACCTTTCCTTTGACCTTGACCTCACTTTTCTCAATTTGTGTTAAAATGTTGCATTACTAATATACCCTTGGCGGGGCATTCATGTCCTATGGACATATTTCTAGTTTAAGTTTTAATTGGCATTCATTAGCCTTTATATATATACAGTAAATTTCTTAAATTTTTTTTAGATTTTTGATAGTACAGTTGCATGTATATGTCCATAATCATTGTTTTCAGTCGTTTCCGTTTCTTACATCCAGGTCAATATAGAATATAACTGTCACAGTTAATATTAATCATTTTTTACAGTTCTTCCATAAAGAAGATGATGGATGGTTGTTTAATACCCCATTACAGAAGGGCGACACAAAGGGAACAATATAGAGAGATGTGTCAAGCTATTCGTGATGAGGGGATGTGAAGAATCTACAAGAGGGGGTGTATGATACAGAGATCTGGGAGTATTGTCTTTAAGCCTGTGATATTCAAGTGCTATCAAACTTATTGTGATAAACTTTTTTTTCAGGAAGCATTATTCAAGTTCATCTTCTAGCAATATACACAGTGATGTGTTCTGAACAAGTTTTAATTTGAATTTTTGATTATTTATGTACTTACTTGTACCATGTACATGTATGCTTTATAAATTCATAAAAATAAAGAGAAAACTGTACAGTCTTTGAAAGTTTATAGAAAATAAGGGGGGAATGAGTGTCAGATTAAAATAATGTTTGAACATGGAGATCCATCAGCACACTTGTAAAGTATTACGAGTGAGTCATATACCAAGACTAATTGTAAAATCATACATGTAACTTGTGGATATTTTATTAGGTCATTTGAGTCAATAGCTCTGCAATGTACATCGGTCATAAACTTTTAAACACTTTTAAGCTTCTCTGGAATGGGCTAACCAGTTTCAAAATTTTCTTCTTTACTCCTGGACATCAAGCAGTCAAACTGTTGGCCTAATTATAATAAGCAATGAGCCCTTTACCAAGAACTGAAATTCATGACCCCCTGGGTTCAGAGTTCAGGCCTTCATATTGGGATAAATTGGTCATACATGTAAATCTTGATGGCTTGAACTTCATTCTCGAGAAGTTCTTGATCACTCGAAGTTAATTTTGTACAGAATTTTGGCCCGGGTTGAAAACTTAGCCAAGGGGTCTTTTCAACGTTGAATATCGACACCATCAGCATTGAATTCAGACCCTAGCCTGTTGAAAATTAAGCCAGATGTTGAATTTTTGATTATAAACAACATAAAAACATGTATAAGATAAATTGACGTTTAAGGGTATGATTTATTCATTCAAAATTTTCACAAGTATATACTTATATTTCACCATGTCCAGGAACTGGGTGAGGGAAAGGAGGCACAGGGTGACTGTTGTCCTTAAAACATGCGATCATATCATATACAATAGGACAAAAAGCTAAAGAATGTCACTGATCTTTTTTGTGTCTTTTTTTTGCTTGTCAATGAATTTTTGTTCAATTGCTCTCCCCTAAAAAAACAAAAACTAAAAAATGAATTTTCTTCCTACTTAGCTGTTCACTGAATACATTTTTATTCTTTAGATTAACGTGAATACTGATACATGTTCAATTCGAAATGGTCAATTTATACTTAACATGTAGCACGGTGTAAGGTTTTCTAAAGATCTATCGCAAAAATATACATTATTTTACTTTAATATCTTTTCGAATTGTGCAAAGAAGGCTTTAATATGCTATATATATATATATATATATTTATTGGTTAAGGACACACGCAAGGTTGTTTGAACTTTATTGTTTTTTTTCCCTGGAGTTGAAGAGTTCCAATATTTGAAGGAACTGAGTGCAACATTTTAATGTCTATATTTGGTGCTGTACACTTAATTCCTCTGAAAGAAGTTTGGATAGACAAAACCACTAGAATATATGTTTAGTAATTTTTGTATATTTTTCTTTGAATTATACAAGAATTTTTATCAATTGATATCTTTACAAAATCCCTGGTAATGCATGCTGATTTTTTGTCTACGAACATCTGATGGCGCTATAATCTTAAATTAAGAATATCTTGAAAAATTATCAGTAGGTAAGGTACGTTGCGTATGTCCTTAACGTAGAGTTCACTGGGCACAACCAAGTTCTAAGAGTACTCGGTGTCTCACCCTTATTCAGGATTACTGCACCTCGTATCTCCCAATCCCCTGGTTTACTTTTCATTAGTGCTACTACTTCAACCCTAGCCTTTCAAACTTCTCTCACTATGGTCGACGAAGTCGAGATGAGTTATGCTATACCCCCAGAATCTGCGTCCCGGTTAAAGTTTTAGGAGCAGATCAATTCCCAAGTACCTATAAGCCCTACCTAGACTAAACTTGCATGGATGTTGCATCTAGGGATGGACACTACCACACTTGCTTCAGCTGCTGGATCTTACCCAAATTTTCCAGCTGAGTGACCAGGTTAAAGTTTTTGGAGAAGGTCCATTCCCAAGTAACTATAAACTCTACCTTTACCAAACTTGCATGATGCATCTAGGGATGTACACTAACAAATCTGCTTCGAATGCTGGATCTGACCTAAATTTTCCACATGAGTGAATTTAGCCATATTTTAACCAAATTAGCTTGGATTATGTATCTAGGGATGGACACTTCCAGACTTGATTTGGATTCTGAATCTGACCTACATTTTCCAGGGAAGTGACCAGGTATAATGTTTTTGGAGAAGATATATAATATTATGGTCTGCTATGATTAAACTTGCATAGATGGTGCATCTAAGGATGAAAACTTCCAGACTTGCTTTGTATGATTGAACTGATCAAAATTTTCTTGATTATTAAACAGGTTAAAAGTTTTTTGAGCAGGTCCATTTCCAAGTAACTATAAGTCCTACTTAAACCAAACTTGCATGGATATTGATCTTGGGATGTAACTAACTAGAAAAAAAAATATGATGTGAGATTTGTCTTACTTACAGATAACATTCGCCGAAGTGAACTTCGTAATCTTTGATTACCTATGTTTTCATACTGAATTGACTGCGTATTTCTGCCTTTGCCCGATCGTGACAAAGGACACGCGGTGGGTGTGGCCTCTCAACAGGGTAAGCTTACTCCTTCATGGCATCTGATCCCACCTCTGATGTTTTAAAAGTTTTCTCACAGTTTGTTTTGTTTTATTGGACTCTTCACGTGATTACTGTTCGTTGTCTTCACTTTTCATGGAGAATTGAAGTCATCTCGTTTGTCATACAGTATTTAGTTTTTAGTTGGCCATTATCGTTTATAATCAGCAAATGATCAGTAAAGCAGTCAAAAGATGAAACATATGTTGTGGACTCTTTGATGTCTTTTATTTTGAGTTCACTGGGATATATCGACTCAACATATGAATGAAAGTAATTAATGTTAATTGATAAAACCTCGTCGATATATCTGAATGTTGAGTTAATTAAAGCCAGTGGCAGGATTTTTCTTGTTTTCATGGAGAAGTATTTGAATAAAGTCTGTCTGATTCACATGATTATAAAAACTGGTCTTTTAACATGTTTAATAAAGGAGCACAATTAGTGCCCATCGAAATTCCAACAGACTGTTGGAAAACATGGTCTCCAAAGACTACACAGATCTTGTGAAGAAAATAAGGCACATTTCTAACATCTACTTCAGAGTACAGAGTACTTGTTTGTAGAATCAGACTGTTTTTACAAAATTAATTGTATAATGACTAGTCACAAAATAGGAAAATTCCCGAGTTCCGTTTTTCTTGAAGAAGCCATTCTATGATATCAAAACACCTTATCTTTAATTTATTGTATGGAATGGCTATATAAAGTGTTGAAAAATAATAAGATGTGGTGTTTCTGACGGGGGAAAATTTGTGATTTTAAATGTATTAGATAAGATAAATATAAAAGTTCATCAGAGATTTTAAAATCTATAATTTATATGATGAACACAATTTCGTAAATAGTTGAAACATAGTGCGTCTTGAGCTTCTCTTTCACAGCAGTAAATATTTTTGTGAGAAGTAAAAATAAGGGATTGGTAGAGTATTTGCTGGAACCTGCATGTATCTTGTTTGTAAAGACTTTCCTAAAGTAAAAGAACCCAGCATAGATACAATAAATCGAATTCACTTTCGTGACTCACTGGAAAATAAAGACCATTTAAAGACTGAAGCGTGTTTCTGAGGACTTTCATCCTTTGAGAGTGAACATTGGAGTATAAGTTGGATTTCCCCAAAAAAAGATCCATTCTAGCAGATCTCTAACTAGATGTCCTTGAGATGTTTAGGTAAATCAAAGTTGTGCATGGATATGAGTTCTACTGTTTTTACAGATCTATATCGCAATCAATTGATTAAAATGTGGGTTTTAAATACATACAGATAAATACTGTAAAACTGGTTATTTTTGTCGTACAATTTTGCTGCTCTATGACATACATGTATATATATATATATATATATATATATATATATATATATATATATATATATATATATATATATATATATATATATATATATATATATATATATATATATATATATATATATATATGTATGTATGTATATATATATATATATATATATATATATATATATATATATATATATATATATATATATATATATATATATATATATATATATATACAGCTGTATAATCGATACAGGAAAAAATTCCACATCTCGTCCCACTTTTGGGGGAAAAAAAATAAACTCATGCATTTATTTCCCTAAGCGACAGTTAACAATGAGCTGTATTTAACATAATAGACACCTGAAAGTGGGGAGGGGGATGTCCTTTAGATTATCATTTAGTACACATGTAGTTCATCTCTGATATTTACATTTGTCAAAGATGACCATGAAATAAGATATAAGATGTACTGAACAACAACTGTATTTTCGGGATGCTATATAGGTTTCCTGATTTCAGCTCGATCTTATTAGTATGCTAGAAGAAATTCAAATTCTGAAACTGATATACGTATACGTACATGTCTTGTAGTTTTTGGAAAGTGCTATTGCTTAAAATTTCAGGTAATTGTGCTTAGATTGAAATAAGTATGACCTTTTCCACTATTTTATGACTTTGTTAAGTACGCTCTCGATTTCGGGAAAGTAGCAGGTTTTCAAGATCAGAAATATTTTCTTTCTATATATTCAAAATATGGTCAGGATCTATTAAGTATATGCCCTTGCGAAAAAGCGATTTGATGATGCACCTCGATGATAAAATGCTAATCCTGTACAGAGAACCCTAACCCTGTGACCGATCGAGAGGGGATGCTAACTCCTCAATGGCACCTGAACACATCTCTATGTTTTTAGAAGTGGGTGTTTGCTCTGCTCCCCATTTGTATTGTTTCAATGGACTTCTTGAGCTTGAATACTGTTCGTTATCTCCATATTTCAGATTAACATTTTTATCTTTCAAAGAGTTATCACAAAGAAAACATTTGGAAATGTATATTTTGTAAAATATATGTCTTGACTGTACTTTAAACCCTAAAATGTGTAATCATTATTGAATAATAAACAGTTATTTTGTTTATAAGTGTATTCAGTACAATATTGCAAAAACTTGACTTTGAAATGCTCAAGTTTACAGGACAGTGGGTAGAAGTACTCTCTCAGAATTTGTATGTGTGTATATAACAGACTAATTATAACAGAATGAGTAATAGCGATTAAGCTAAATATTTTGTGAAAATTCACGAGAGTAGAATGTCTCAAAATGATCTTTGCTTGAAATGGCAGTGTAATTCCTTCGCTTTGATATAAAGTACGATGATGGGAAGGCTGATTGATTGATTGTATGTTGTTTTACGTCCCATTCGAGAATTTTTCACTCATATAGAGACGTCACCATATACCGGTGAAGGGCTTCAAATTTTGACCTTTACTCGGCACTTAGGGCCATTGAGCAGTGAGGGACCTTTTTCGTGCCAGCACCTACTGCGACACGGGACCTCGGTTTATACGGTCTCATCCGAAGTACCGGTCTCCACGTCCCACAGTGGGATTCTAACCCGCGACGTAAGGATCAACTCCTTAATCCTCGACTCTAACCACTGCGCCACGCGGGCGACATGATAGGAAGAAAATACCCTCACCCTCAAATGTGTTTGCAAGTTGAAATTCTCATGAAATATTTCGTATACTAATGATACTAAAGCTCGTTCCAAGCACTTTTCAGGTACATTAGGACACATTAAGTTAATTTATTTCTATGACAAAATGTAAATAGACATAAATGTGCAACACTTCGTGATCAACCGGTTCATATGATATCGCAGAAATGTGTTGATTTGTAGATGAGAGATCCCTTTGTGCAAATTGTCTTTACGTTCATAACCTACATATTGAAATCAAATCCGAGGCTGGAAAAGTAATGATATGTTATGAATGCAATTTAATACTTCGGGAAGCCTTAAGAAAGCTGCGTTGTCATAACCATGACTTTGTAAAAGAGAAACATTTAAAGCTTTAAATGACATTATTTTATTATATGACAGGGAGTGTCTAATACACCCTTCAAGGTCATTTGGAAATGAACACTTGAAAAACTAAATGAAATTTTGTCTAAATTGTTAGAAAATATAAAAGAGAAACTTAAATTTAATAAAATCTTGCTTATAACAAAACTGCTTTTGTAATAATGTCACAGTGAAAAACCCCTGTTTTCCATTATTACTCGGTGACCATCTATGAAATCCAAAGGGAATGATATACGTAGATATGGTTTCTTGTTTTTAAGGTAGAAAAAGTAGAAGGTAGAAGAAGTTATATATAATAAAGTATATCAATGCACAAAATGCAAGTACGGTCATATTATTTGATGTTTATTATATGTATTTGATGATTTTTAGTTCCCCTGAATTGTATAACCATATCCACAACCTCCCCTCACTGTCCAAACTCAATCCAACAGGAAAATGTAGTCCACAATTATCCACACATCTCAAGAACTGTCCATTCTGATCAAGGATGTGTAGACAGTCGTTGAGTGGATCAGTCACAATGATGTGGCCCATGGAGTCTGTCACTAATTGGTTAGGACAGAATGATTTCTTTCCCCCAGGACGTTTATCATTGTATCTGAATCTAACTTTTCCTGTCCTGTCCACCACTACAACCTTGTCAGCATTTAGATCAGAGGCCACTATGTCTCCATTGTTGTTCTCCACTACATACACTAAATACTCTCCTCCTTGATAGATTGGATGACCATGTTCATCTTTATCTATTTCCTGTGTCACTCTCTGTCCCTGATAACAGGTTATTTTATAATAATTCTTATCAACAGTACACATTCCAACTAAGATATTTCCTGACTTGGTACAACACAGTTCTCTTGGACGCCAGCCCTTTGGTGTAGTGATCAGTGTCTTTATCTTCCTGTCCCTGACAATGTTCACAGTTCTGTTGTGGGCATCGCTATATATCAGTTCTCCCTGTCTGGTCACTGTTATGTCAGCAGGAAATGTCTTACATGTACTGGTGACAGTGTTTTGCACAGCTCCATGTATGTCAACACATGTTATCATTTTTTTCTCTCCACTAATCCAAGCTTTGTCTGATCCTACACAGGCCACCCTACATAAGTTTTCAATATTTGTTGGAATGTTTGCAATAACTTTGACTTCTTTTAATAATTCCTTAACAAACATATTGGAGTCTTTATCTGTCAGACTGAATACTGTTGTCTGATTCAGTGAAGCCTTGCATTCTCCAAATTCTATACTATATTCTCGCCCTTGGACTGTGTTTGTTTTAAGAGAAGGCAATGATAAATCAGGTATTTGTGGAATGTTCTTAAATTCCATTAGTTTGGATTTATAGTTGTTGACATCAGATACTTTGTTTGACTTCAGGATTTCTCTGTTATTTCGAACAGTTAAGATCATACTGGAATTCTGACTTCTGAGTTTGGACTGGCATGATTTTAGAGTTGTAATATGATGGTCTCTAAGGGACTGGATCACTGATTCAAGACTGTTAAAGATGTTGTCCACCTCTATATGCCATTGTTTTCTTTGAGTTTTAACTTGTTTCTCTAGTTGTATAAAGTGGGCCATAGATCTTGAAATTCTGTTTTCAGCTTCTGCATCCTTTGCTCTATTTTTGGGAATAATTGCCTCAATTTCATCTGTTTCTTTTTTTATTTTTTCTCTCAGTCTGGTAATGATGGTTGTCATATCCTCAGACTCATGGCCTCTATGTAGACCAGTGAGACATTTGATGCAGACGGGGACATCACACTGTTGACAGTGTCCTTCACATCTCTGGTGGGAATGAAATGTACACTGAGGGAAAACAAGCTGTACTGTACGCTTTGTAAAAGGAACAATGTCATGCGTCAAGGATTTGAGGCTCGTGACATGTTTGTTGATGCAGTCTTCACACAGATCTACTTGGCAGCTGTTACAAAATTGTTGGACAGCTTTGTCACAAAAATCACAGATTATGATCTCCTGTCCTTGGGTCGTGGTATTTGCCATGTTATTATCAAATACTGTCCATACCTGTGGAAAAAATAACATGCAAATGGTAACTTAATAAGTGACAAAGTGACTTATTTTTTATGTATCATTGGACATAAACTATGAAATATTTTCAGAATCATATCTGAAAGATTTCTACTAATTGTAGTGTTTGCCGTATATCCGTAAAGGGGTAATAAGTTTTATGGAGCCTAAGGAGTGGATAAATCACCAAAACTCAAGCAATGTTTGTCACATTGTAGTCCATTTTCATCCATCGTCATTTTATCATCTGTCAATGATGATTTCACATTCGCCAGAAATACTTTGCAATTTAATCAACCAAGCTCTTGAGTAAAAGAGATTGTAACAATAAATATAAAGGGCCCTTTAGAAAAGGGAGATCATACCAAAATGGTAAAATGAGATTGGTCATTTTAAAATATTCTGATGAAGAACCACTGGGTCAAAATTATAGATATTATGTGTGTTTTTTAATACCTGTTTAGCAAACATACTTGTTAAAATTGATCAAACCATGTCCTGCTGGGAGGGGTACAAAAAGGAGTTTTAAATACAGAATTTCAGGTAAAATATATTTTCAAAGGTAAGTATCCTTCTGAAGTGTATGTTAATGGAGTATAAATCATGGTCTTCTGTCTGAATCTGGACCAAAAAGGACCCAAAAAGGATTTTTAAAAAAATCTTCTAATTAGTATTTTGTCAAGAAATACAAGCTACACATTGTCCAACTTCTGTGAGCATCCTCATACTGCGTAAATTCGAATTTTGTAAATCATATAGGTAATACATGACAGACAACACATAATGTGGCCTTGTGACACTTAGGTGACCACTAGGGTCAAACGCTTCGTCTAAAAAGTTTTTTTTTCTTCAGCAACTAAAAGGCAGATTGTTGTCATAGTTAAAATAAGCAAAGTTTTCAAAGTGATAACAATAGTAATTCAAATTATTAAAGGTATCACTATTGGGAATCAATTTTCTGTGATATAAAAGGTAAAGAAAACGATTGATTGATTGATTGTATGTTGTTTTACGTCCCATTCGAGAATTTTTCACTCATATAGAGACGTCACCATATACCGATGAAGGGCTTCAAATTTTGACCTTTACTCGGCACTCAGGGCCATTGAGCAGTGAGGGATCTTTATCGTGCCAACGCCTGCCGTGACACGGGGCCTCGGTTTTTAAGGTCTCATCCGAAAGACCCGCAACTTTCACTTCAAAGTGCCGAGCGCATGGCGAAGGAACAGTTGCTACCCATTTTATCGACTTGGGTCTGTCGCGGTTGAGATTCGAACTCACGACCTCCCGATCACGGAGCGAGCGCTCTACCGACTGAGCTACCGTGAACGGTATAAAGAAAGAAAACGAACAGTGATCAATTTTCTAAATCCAGTAATCGGTCACGGTAGCTTCGCTTCGAGATTGGGAGGCCCGGGTTCGATTCTCGTTAGCCGCGCCGAGTCAAACCTAAGACGTAAACATAGGTAGTGACTGTTCCTTCGCCAATTGCCCGGCACTTGAAATGAAAGTCAGTCGGATGAGACCTTAAAAACCGAGGTCCCATGTCACGGAAGGTGTTGGCACGATAAAGAACCCTCACTGCTCAATGGCTCCGAGTGCCGAGTATAGCTCTACATTTGAAGCCCTTCACCGACATACAATGACGTCTCTAAATGATTGAAAAATTCTCCAATGGGACGTTAAACAACATACAATCAATCAATCAATCTAAATCCAGTAATCAAAACGAATTGTCAACAAGGCAAAAACACGGACCCCTTGGAAACACCAAGGTGGGATCGGGTGCCTAGGAGGAGTAAGCATCCCCTTTTGACTGGTCACACACACCGTGAGCCCTATTGTTCAGGTAGAAGGAGTACTCCGTAGTCCGTAGTCACATTTATTACAAAAGCAATGATCTAACAGATGGAAATGAAACATGTCAGACAAAATACCACCCAACGGTAGACTGTATTTACAAACAAGGTCATTATAACGACCGAAGAATTTGCGAACAGCTGATGTTAAACTGGGTTGTTGAAATCTTTGTATCATCAACTTATTTGTCAGTAGCTTGTTGATCATATTCATAGCATGCTCTTGCCTTGCGTATCGAATCAGTATGGAGACATAACACCATATTCAGGTGATAGTGGAATATTACTACATAATAAGGGAAATTGTCGATGGAAAAACTGAAGCCATCCCGTTTGTCATACAGTACGTTTAGTTATTAGTTGGCCATTATCGTCTATAGTCAGTAAAATATCCAAATTAGAAACAGATGTATGGCAGACTCTGTAGTGTTTTTATTTTGAGTTCAGTTGGATATATCCAGTCGACATATGGATGAAAATAACTACTGTTATTTGATAAAACGTCAATATATCTAGGATTTCTCATTAAATTACAAAAATTAGGAATTATCCAGTATTGCAGACTTTTTTTTTCTTCATTTTACGAAAAATATCTTTTGATATCTTTTATTAAGAACATGAGGATTTTATGTACTTTTTATGAGATACTTTTTATTTAAAATTAAAATTTTATTGATACTTTTTGAAACATAATATTTTCAATGAAATTTATGGCAAGATATTTCTATAAAAAATACATCAAAGTGTAAATTTTAGTAGATCGAAATGTCAAAGTTATATCTATTGTAAATTAAACTTTCAAAAGAGATAACTTTGGTAAATCAAAATTTTCTGTTATAACTATAGTGACTCTGTGTCAAAGTTATCAGTATAGTTAACTACATGTATAGTTTACTATAATTAACTATAGCTTACTATAATACCTTTTTGTTAGAGCTGTTATAGTACATTTTTTTTACCTTGTTTTACATCCAGTATTATAAAATTTCTTTGCTGTCCAGTAAGTGAATCAGCCATTTTGTAATTTGGATTTATTCTTCCTGGTATACTTTCGTCATGTGACATATTCTTCTAGATCACCTCAGATTTAAAGGTAAATACTGCAGAAGATATATCTTTGTACGTATCATTTCCTATTCAAAATATAGATTTAAAAATTTAAGTACCAGGCATATGGTGACATAATTTTCGATCAGAAGTGTTTCGTAAAAAAGAAGGATCCGTTAACTTTGATTGCCCTCCAGCTTCTGCTACAAAAGGACGCCAGCTATCTCGGTAGAAGAAGGATCCGTTAACTTTGATTGCCCTCTAGCTTCTGCTACAAAAGGACGCCAGCTATCTCGGTAGAAGAAGGATCCGTTAACTTTGATTGCCCTCCAGCTTCTGCTACATGTACAAAAGGATGCCAGCTATCTCGGTAGAAGAAGGATCCGTTAACTTTGATTGCCCTCTAGCTTCTGCTACAAAAGGACGCCAGCTATCTCGGTAGAAGAAGGATCCGTTAACTTTGATTGCCCTCTAGCTTCTGCTACAAAAGGACGCCAGCTATCTCGGTAGAAGAAGGATCCGTTAACTTTGATTGCCCTCTAGCTTCTGCTACAAAAGGACGCCAGCTATCTCGGTAGAAGAAGGATCCGTTAACTTTGATTGCCCTCTAGCTTCTGCTACAAAAGGACGCCAGCTATCTCGGTAGAAGAAGGATCCGTTAACTTTGATTGCCCTCTAGCTTCTGCTACAAAAGGACGCCAGCTATCTCGGTAGAAGAAGGATCCGTTAACTTTGATTGCCCTCTAGCTTCTGCTACAAAAGGACGCCAGCTATCTCGGTAGAAGAAGGATCCGTTAACTTTGATTGCCCTCTAGCTTCTGCTACAAAAGGACGCCAGCTATCTCGGTAGAAGAAGGATCCGTTAACTTTGATTGCCCTCCAGCTTCTGCTACAAAAGGACGCCAGCTATCTCGGTAGAAGAAGGATCCGTTAACTTTGATTGCCCTCCAGCTTCTGCTACAAAAGGACGCCAGCTATCTCGGTAGAAGAAGGATCCGTTAACTTTGATTGCCCTCTAGCTTCTGCTACAAAAGGACGCCAGCTATCTCGGTAGAAGAAGGATCCGTTAACTTTGATTGCCTTCTAGCTTCTGCTACAAAAGGACGCCAGCTATCTCGGTAGAAGAAGGATCCGTTAACTTTGATTGCCCTCTAGCTTCTGCTACAAAAGGACGCCAGCTATCTCGGTAGAAGAAGGATCCGTTAACTTTGATTGCCCTCTAGCTTCTGCTACAAAAGGACGCCAGCTATCTCGGTAGAAGAAGGATCCGTTAACTTTGATTGCCCTCTAGCTTCTGCTACAAAAGGACGCCAGCTATCTCGGTAGAAGAAGGATCCGTTAACTTTGATTGCCCTCTAGCTTCTGCTACAAAAGGACGCCAGCTATCTCGGTAGAAGAAGGATCCGTTAACTTTGATTGCCCTCTAGCTTCTGCTACAAAAGGACGCCAGCTATCTTGGTAGAAGAAGGATCCGTTAACTTTGATTGCCCTCTAGCTTCTGCTACAAAAGGACGCCAGCTATCTCGGTAGAAGAAGGATCCGTTAACTTTGATTGCCCTCTAGCTTCTGCTACAAAAGGACGCCAGCTATCTCGGTAGAAGAAGGATCCGTTAACTTTGATTGCCCTCTAGCTTCTGCTACAAAAGGACGCCAGCTATCTCGGTAGAAGAAGGATCCGTTAACTTTGATTGCCCTCTAGCTTCTGCTACAAAAGGACGCCAGCTATCTCGGTAGAAGAAGGATCCGTTAACTTTGATTGCCCTCTAGCTTCTGCTACAAAAGGACGCCAGCTATCTTGGTAGAAGAAGGATCCGTTAACTTTGATTGCCCTCTAGCTTCTGCTACAAAAGGACGCCAGCTATCTCGGTAGAAGAAGGATCCGTTAACTTTGATTGCCCTCTAGCTTCTGCTACAAAAGGACGCCAGCTATCTCGGTAGAAGAAGGATCCGTTAACTTTGATTGCCCTCCAGCTTCTGCTACAAAAGGATGCCAGCTATCTCGGTAACAAAGTAGTTTTATGAACTTCTAAATACATCACAGAGCAGGTATTACATTTTCCTAGGTGTATTATACCTCTTTGATAATAACTAGTAACATAATATAGCACATGTTATGAGCTTTAGGTTTTTAGAATTCAGGTTACCTGGCCTTACAGGTGGTTCGATGTATTTTCGTAAGCAGATTGCATCTAAATCGATCTCCCAGCCAATTTTTGGATAAAGCATTTTTGATTGCCGGGAAGCAAAGATTTGAATTCTATGCCCCATACACATACATGCAGAGGATGTGTTCCCCAACCTCGACTAAAAATAACATTTAAGGACATACGCAACGTAGTTTGAACTTTATTGTCTTTTTCCCTGGAGTTGAAGAGTTCCAATACTTAAAGAAATTGTGTGCTACATTTGTATGTCTATATATGCTGTTGTACACTTCTTTTAAAACAAGTTTGGATAAACAAAACATCTAGAATATGTGTTTAGTAATTTTTGTGTATTTTTCTTTGAATTATACAAGAATTTTCATCAATTGATATCTTTTCAAAACCCCCGGTAATGCATGCTGATTTTTTGTCGACGAACACCTGATGGCACTATAATCTTAAATTAAGAATATCTTGAAAAATTATCAGTAGGTAAGGTACGTTGCGTATGTCCTTAATTATGCCGGTAAATAAGAATCTACCTGTACTCCCTCTCCGGGGGAACAGGTTGATTCTACTTTTATTCACTTGGTTTCAATAAAGCATTTAAATCACCATGAATTTTTTGCGCCCTCATTGCCCATGAGTAAAGAGGGATATTTTTACAGGGTGAATTCATTTTTAATATATGACAAACCTAATCCCTATCCTAAGGTCTGAACCATGAATTTCACAACTTTGGTAGAGGGTTAAGTGTTTACTTTAATCGAGAAACAGTTTGCCTACGTAATGTCCATGAGTAAAGAAGAAATTTTCAAAGATATAATGTATTTTATGAGTTATAACATATATGACCTACTTTACCCAGTCTTGGACATCCGGGCTATGAATTTTACAATATGGAAGATGGCTACTAAGTGTTAACTATAATAATAAGAGATTGCGTTTGAATTAATGGCAATGAGTAAGAAAAGGATGTTCAGGAATGTAGTTTATTTTCAATATATGACCATCCTGCAAGCTGGACCCTGGACGCAGGACCATCAAAACCACAGTCTTGGTAAGATTTTCTAAAATATATTGTATCCAATCCATGACTGGGTTAGTCCTTTCCTGGGGCCAGAACCATGGATTGATTAAGTGAATGAAGTAAATCATAGTCAAAATAGTGTACAATTAAATAATAGCCTAACAATTAATGGAAAAATGTCAGTCAAAATTCGACCCAATGACAGATTGTATTTGCAAACACAGTTATTATAACGACCATAGAATTTTCGAAATACTGACTTTAACGTTGAAAATTATGTTACGTTCGCTTATTTGTCAGTAGCCTACCTTTGTATAATCATGCTAAGAATATGTTCTTGAACATCGAATCAGATTGAGACATAAACACCATATGCAGGTGATGGTGAAATATTGCTCATTAGTTGACTATGGAAAAAACATATCCAAAATATGAGCTCCCCACGAATTTATTTTGACTTATGGATCAATATTATATTAATTACATGAGTTTGAAATATTAAGTTAAGTCATTTTTAAGTTTATGGTCATGGAGCCTGGACTGAAGAAGATCTTTGACGATTGCATTCAGTTTGATGGTTTTGGTCCCATTCTCAGGGTTTAGAGAGGCAGAGACCATGAATTTCATCATTTTCTTGCTCTTTACCCTAAAGCTAAAGCTCAACTTCCTTCTAATGAAATTGGCTGTTCCAGAGAAAAAAAAAACTATCTGAAAATGCTCAAAAGATAACGACCAATACTCGAAGACTGACGAAAATGGATGGTAAAAGACTACTTGAGTCAATTAATTTTCAATCGTAATCAATTAAAATAAATACAGAGGAATTGTTTTAAACAAATCATGCAGGAAATACTTGTAAAATATGACACAAAAAGAATTTAATAATGTAAAAAATGAGAGTTTGCAACTCTTGATTTTTCTAATAAAGTATTTAAAAGATTTTCGCTCGCCTGTGTTTTTCAGAGTCACATGGTCATGATTATAATGAGCAATGAGTCCCCTACAAAAACTTTGAAGTTTATGACCCTAGGTACAGGGTTTTGCCCAACGTTGGGGATAATATTGTTATAGTTTTGAAAATGTAATACTTAGTATACTCGTATATTTTAGAAAACATTCGAGGAAGTATTGATAAACTGTTTGTATGATTATACATTTATTGAGCATTGAGAAATCTACCATGAGCTTTTGAAATATGGAGATAAGGAACAGTAATCAAGCTCAGAAGTCCACTGAAACAATTCAAATTGGGAGCAGAGCAAACATGGACCTTAAAACAATCCGAGGTGGGATCAGGTGCCATGGAGGAGTAAGCATCCCCTGTCGACTGGTCACATCCGCCGTGTTCTCGAAACGGAAAAATCCGTAGACAATTCAATGTTTAAAGTGGCCTGACAAATAGTAATAATTAATACGAAAAACATCAATCAATCATTAGACTTAATGATAGATTGTATTTGCTGACGACGTCATTGTATCGACCGTATAATTTGCGAAATGTTGACCTTAAACGAGACTGTTGATATCCTTATTTCATCAACTTGTTTGTCAATAGCTTGCCTCGTTTTAGAAATTGTTCGTTCTTGCTCTCGTGTATCGAATCATCTGGAAGATATAAACCCCATATGCAGGTGATAAGGGTATATTGCTACATAAATAACGGAAGTTGATGATAGAAAAGTTGAAGTTCATCATAAGGTTTTGTTGTGAGGTTACCATTAACGTCTTTTTGTAGTAAAATATCAAAATATGAAACAGATGATCAGACTCTGCGGTATATTTTATTTTAATTTCATTGTGATATAGTCGCCCGCGTGGCGCAGTGGTTAGAGCGTCTGCTCTAGAGTTGCGGAGTAAGGAGTTGATTCTTACGTCGCCGGTTCGAATCCCACTGCGGGACGTAGAGACCGGTCCTTCGGATGAGACCGTATAAACCGAGGTCCTGTGTCGCAGTAGGTGCTGGCACGAAAAAGATCCCTCACTGCTCAATGGCCCTGAGTGCCGAGTATAGGTCAAAATTTGTAGCCCTCCACCGGCAAATGGTGGCGTCTCCATATGAGTGAAAAATTCTCGAGAGGGACTTTAAACAACATACAATCAATCAATCATTGTGATATATCGAGTGGACATATGAAAGGAAGTAACTATTGTTAATTGATAATACGTCGTCGATATATTTAAATGTCTAGTTGAAGGCCACAGCAAGTGTTTTCTTCTCTTGTATGATTTTTTGATTAAATTCTGCTTCATATGAATACAAAAATAGGCCTGCTAATAACGGGGTGCCATTGGTATCCATCGGAATTCCGACAGATTGTTGAAAGACCTGATCTCCAAAAGTAAATTTACTAAGTTCCATTTTTATCTAAAAACAGCTGTCTATGATGTCAAAAAGCAAACTTTATGATTAACTTGATGAATTCAACTTTTCTATTTATAGTGGTGAATGTGTGTGTAAAGTGTTGAAAAGTCCTACCTTTTGATGTTATTGATTTTGGTATTTCTAAAAGTTCCTTGGAGTTTTTAAGTATCCACATCTGATTTACACTACTTCTCGAATATCTTGTCGTACAGTACTCCTGAAGTCTCTCCTTCACTGCTATTTAAATTTTGGTGAGAAGTAAATAAAGAGGCATGATTTTGGTTGTTTAAAGTCCCTTCGAGACTTTTTCACTCATATTGAGACGTCACCACTTGCCGGTGGAGGGCTGCAAATTTAGACTTATACTTCTTACTTACGGTCATTGAGCAGTGAGGGATCTTTTTGTGCCAGCACCTACTGCGACACGGGACCTCGGTTTATAAGATCTTATCCGAAGGACAGGTCTCCACGCAGTGGGATTCGAATCCGCGACGTAATGACGTGTCCAGAAGGACTATAGTTGTAGGATGAAGAAAAACATGAACACGAACACATGAGCACTTTAGAGTTTTTTTTTGGAAGCAATAGTCGATGTATATTTGTAAGAAATACTAGGTGTAGACTTCAACTTGAAATATGGTGGAAAACAAAAGTGGACCCTTATTTGATTAAGAATACGTGTATATTATTACATATATTAACTGCATTAATTCCTTTGTTGGCATATTGAAGTTAAAGGAACAAACTGGTTGTTTGAGCAGTAATTAATTTCTTCCGTAAAACGTGGCAGTTTAAAAAGCCCATGATTTGCAATATCCATAATTGCAGATGCATGTCTGTATTCTGGTGTCTAAAAATCCAAATATGGACTTTCTTTGACTTTTTCAAATAGAGTATTTAAACTTTCAAAGGGACAGAGTAAAGTTTGGTGCGAATTTGACAAAGACCTAACTATTTACATAAGGTAGTGGTGAATCAAAGCTTTCTGCCTTGTAGAGTCTTTAAAAATTGTAAAATTCATTTCATAGGAGTCAAGAGTGTAAGTCCCATGTGGGTCAGGGATGATAGAAGCCCAAGAAGGTGACCCTAAGGCCTCTTATCCTGGAAGACAGAATTTTGTAATATCAAATCACAGGGACTTCTTTCCCAAATTTCTCTCTCTCTCTCCCTCTCTTAGATATAAATTTAATTTTAAGTATTTTTAAACAGATGGAGCACTGTGGATGAGGAACCCATATGATCAAACAAGACTTGAAAACAAATAATTATTCTGAAGAATATGTAATTATTGCCTACAGAGAACAAATTCATTCCAATGTTTACCTACAGTTCTGTAGCTCTTCTGTAGCTCAAACTGGTCGGAAAAACCGGAGATCCTAATTTTTTCTGACCAGTAAGCTATAGATCTGCAGGTGTCTGATTTGCCAAACCTGTTTTATAAGAGGCTTTGTATAATCCGAGGTCAAAGTGAAATACATGTAGAATGCTTACTCCACACTTGTTTAACAAAAACATTCTTTAACAATTCATTGTATACATTTAATTATCACAGCCTTCTGATAATACATTTAAATCATTGAGCAAGCAAAATATGGTACAACATGGCATTTGATGGAACTTTGACATATCACAGAATAAAAATACATTATAACAGTTTACATGTATACATAAACAAGTCTCCAATCAAGATCTTTGTTTAAGAATCTTGTTATAAATTAATCAATGAAATTATGCCTTTCAATTTTTTAAAACAGTTCATTAATCTACATTTTGCAGTAGCAGTTCTGAGTGCCAATACAAATGTAATACATTTACATGTATCAGCATACTACCCTCTGTTTATCTGACTAGATAATTTAAATGCTACTTCTTCCTACATCAATGAATGAGACAAGAATACAAGTCATGTATTTGAAGGAGCTCTCATTTTCTAATTCCTCCAGTCTTTCTATTTTTACATTTCCACTTTGACATTAGGATTAGCATCTCTGATGTTTGCTAGGGACCTAATACTTGTACAGCCATACAAATGGAGCAATTTTAATCTGAAAAAGAAAAAAAAAAGATTTCATTTAATTTCTCTCTTCTCATCAAAGACCCTGTATTCATATTTTTAAAAGTATGAAGTACATGCGTAGTCATATAGATTTTCCTGCAGACATGTACATGGAATTCAAAGCCTTTATATGAAGAAACATCTAAAAACATAATGCATCTCAAATATTCTGAGAGATCTCTCACTTAATTGAGTGAAATAATTGAGGAAATGTCCTCTCTTTTTTTTAAATTCTAAATACCAGGACACCCAGAGTGAATTATTCTAATGCCAATGGTATGAAATGACAATGTCATAAAAATACTCCACAAATCATGTACTACTTGTCCATAGTTCTGTAGAAATTTACATGCCTTTTGCAGTGTTTCATCAGTTTATCAAATTTACATGCCTTTTGCAGTGTTTCATCAGTTTATCAAATTTACATGCCTTTTGCAGTGTTTCATCAGTTTATCAAATTTACGTGCCTTTTTGCTGTGTTTTATCAGTTTATCAGATTTAAGTGCCTTTTGCAGTGTTTTATCAGTTTATCAGATTTACATGCCTTTTGCAGTGTTTTATCAGTTTATCAGATTTACGTGCCTTTTGTTGTGTTTTATCAGTTTATCAGATTTACATGCCTTTTGCAGTGTTTTATCAGTTTATCAAATTTACATGCCTTTTGCTGTGTTTTATCAGTTTATCAGATTTACATGCCTTTTGCTGTGTTTCATCAGTTTATCAAATTTACATGCCTTTTGCAGTGTTTCATCAGTTTATCAGATTTACATGCCTTTTGCTGTGTTTCATCAGTTTATCAAATTTACATGCCTTTTGCTGTGTTTTATCAGTTTATCAGATTTACGTGCCCTTTGTTGTGTTTTATCAGTTTATCAGATTTACATGCCTTTTGCAGTGTTTTATCAGTTTATCAGATTTACGTGCCTTTTGCTGTGTTTCATCAGTTTATCAAATTTACATGCCTTTTGCTGTGTTTTATCAGTTTATCAGATTTACGTGCCCTTTGTTGTGTTTCATCAGTTTATCAGATTTACATGCCTTTTGCAGTGTTTTATCAGTTTATCAGATTTACGTGCCTTTTGCTGTGTTTTATCAGTTTAATTACTGAATGCTCCGTGACGTCAGACAGGAAGTTTAACTTTACCGACTCCAACCTCGGGCTGCAAAAATTGGCCATCATCAAAACACTGAAAAAAAAAATCCTCTTATTTAGTAATCAAAGCATATTCATTTGCCTGAATTTCCTTTGAATTAATCAAAATTTTCCCTCTTAATTCTGAAAATTATGCATACATGTATAAAGCATTTTCAATGGTGCCCTCATAAGGGTATCCTTAAAACATGCATGTCAGTTTTATGACTTTTTCTCTGGTCATGAGCAACACTTTTGTATCCAGTGTGAACTTAAAATAATTCCTAATTTAACAAGAGTTATTGCCCAGACAAGATTTTAACAACTTAAATCCCTTTGCCTTTGTCCAAATGTCATAAATTTTCCTCATGTTGCTCCAACAATATTTGTTTTCCAAAAATATGGCCCTTCATACATTGAAGAGTTAGGGGGTGGTTACATACAGATTTGAATACAGCTATGAAGTCTAACCTTCTGTGAGTACACCCTGTAGAGCTGATATCAATACTCCGGAGATTTGTACAGTTGTTAGCGAGGGCCCGGACACCTCCATCTGTCACATGTCTACAACCACACACATCTATGCTCCTAAAAAGAAAATTTTATACAGAACAATTTATTTTCAATTACTAGTATTTGGAAACAAACACATTCCTTGATTTTTGATTTGGAGACACTGAAGATTTAAAGATATGTGCACATTAAGTTTAAAACACTGTATCCATAATTCTGAACAGTAAACAGGGCAACCAATACATTCCTTGTGCTCATTTAACTGTCAGACTTTACTTACCAAACTCTCCTAATTTCATCACATTCTGTACAATGTACATTGTATATTGATCTTGCCTAAATTGATAAGATCAATTTGTGTAATTTACAAACCTGATGTCCCTTATACACTGTGACTGACTTATGTCCTTTATATGTGATGTTCTTTATGTGGAAATGTAGATACCTCTAGCAGTGAGATATCTGTGATTGTCTGATATCTTTTATGTGGATATGTGGATACCTCTGGCAGTGAGATATCTGTAATTGACTGATGTCTTTTATGTGGATATTTAGATACCTCTAGCAGTGAGATATCTGATTGACTGATGTCCTTTATGTGGATATGTAGATACCTCTAGCAGTGAGTTACAGGCCCGTAGGAAGCAAATTCAGTTTGGGGGGGGGGGGGGGGGCACTGCCATACATTTTCAGTCGACAGTTGAGGGGGCACTACCAAAAATTTTCTGACAAGCAAAAAAAAAAAAAAGAAAAAAAAGGTCATCAGACGTTTTTATTGAGGGGGCACAAGCATATAGTATCTATGTTTCCTATAGTAATCTATATATCGGCAAAATTATTGGAGGGGGGGGGGGCACAGCCCCCCCCCCCCCCCCCCCCGTTCCTACGGCCATGAGTTATCTGTGATTGTCTATCCTGGTATTCTTTAAATATCAATGAGATATTTTTGTTTAACTAATCCTAATGTCCTGTATATCTTCAGCAATGACATATTTACGGTTGACTAACCTGATGTCCTTGTGAGAAAATAATTTTGCCAGGAATGAGTTATCTGTTAAAATATCTGATGTCCTTTGAAGATGTAGAAATTCACTGACCTGATATCCTTTAGATATGTGGATATCTCTAGAAGTGAGATATCAGTGATATTTGGACAGTTGGCTAGGATTATAGTTTGAAGGCGATTACAGTACTTCACTATATATCTTATGCAGTTGTCTTTTATCTGAAAGCAATAATTCCACATTATGTCAAATATACCTTTATATGTTTACTTCTTATTTCTTAAAAGGTGGTGATAGAACCTGTTTCTTCTTATTTTAAACTTCTATGAATATTGTTTTTAATAATCATTGGTAGGGCCCAAATCACTAGCAAATCATTACCTTTTTACAGCCCCGTAAATCCAGGGTTTCCACTTTACTAAGACTGGTGGACAAACGTGAAATCACCGAATCTGTCAACTACAAATAAACACTCAGAACTATTAGCAGTGAAAAATTTCCCAAATCCTCCTCCATTAGCTGATCTTGAGGCAGTAAATTGCTCACCTTGTAACACTGTCCCAGATTCAGAGTCTTTAAGTTGATACAGTTTGCTGCCAGATATTCTATTCCATTTGCTTTAATGTTGAAACATCCAAACATTTCCAAGACTCGGAGCCTGTAAAACAGCAATCAACCAATGAAAAGGTCTGACTCAGATGTGTGCAGAGTCTAATGACTGTCAAGGATTCTCACCATTTTCCATGTTTTTTGATGACTGTTATCAGTCCTTCATTTGTGATCATTTGACATCCACTGATACAAAGACTCTCCAACCTAAAAAAACAATTCATTGTCAGGTACACATCATCAAACAATAATGGTAAATCTGTGTTTTTAAAGGTCTTGGAGAAAGCTTTACATCACCTATGCTATTTTAAATGCAAGATGCATATACATACATGTATATATATAAGCAAAAAAAAGTTTGTCACAATCACTCATCGATAAATAAAGTGCACTGCCAGGGTACATGATACACCCATCCTGAACTGTATGATGCACATCAATTTATTCTTATATTCCCTTGCACTTTTTATTGGTTAAAATATGACACAATGAAATTCGGTGTCCAGCATGTGAAAATTTACTGGTAAATCCTGCAATATGGCCAATGCCTAACCAACTTGATATTTTGATCATCAGTTTTTGTGCGTATGTTTCCCCAATTATGGTCCTTGAGAAATAAAGCACTTACTAGTTTTGTTACTGTCTATGGATCAATCTCATTTCATTATGCTATGAATTGGATCAATCTGATATATTTCTGTAGACAATGAATTGACAGAAACTTAAGTAATAATATTCACAGCTACAAGTTGTCATCCTGTAATATTGTAACTATATTGGAATAAAGTTATGTAATACATCTGGATTTCTCTATAATGTACAGAAAAACCAAAGAGATTTCTTAAATTTTTTTAATCTACTACTCAACGATTAAAAACAAAATTCATGATTTGATGGACTTAAGCCTCATAGTGTGCAAGATACGATTCAAACACAATATGACTACACACAACCATAAAATTCTACAATGGAGCTATATCATAAAACTTTTAAGCAACAGCAGTCCTCCTCCATCCCCAAATGCATCAACTGACCATGACTGATAGTCCCAAACTTTTAGTGTGCAAGCTATTTGACTAAGAATAGCAAAAAAATTCCAAAATGAGAACCAAGGTGACCTACGTTTAGGTTCCGACATTCCCCCCCCCCCCCCCCCCCCCCCCCCCCCCCGGATGCATCAACTGACATGGTTTGATCATCCTTGACCATACAGTGTGCAAGCAACATATGACTCAGACATAAAAAAACAAACAAACAAACTAACAGGCAGACTTACAGACTGGAAAGCCTATACCATAATGCAGCCCATCAAGAGAAGGTCAAGGGTGTATAAAAATGACAGTCATCATTATTCATTAATATTAAATATTCTGAAGCAGTCTTTGAATCATGTGATGTAGTTTTGTAGTTTTTACCTGTTTGAGGAGTTGGCCAGAGCTCCTATACCACTGTCAGAGACATTACACCAGCTGGCATCAATGTGGGTCAGTCCCTTACAGTGAGAGGTGGCATGGAGGAGGATACAGTCCCCCATCAGGGCCCCCCGGCTACAGCCAAAAAAGTTCAACTCCTACAAAGATACCTCAACATTACATACATAGAACTTCAGAAAAAGAAACTAAATTTCCTACAAATAAAAATCATACAAATACATTTTCTACAATATGCTTTCTAATCATTCTCAAAACAAGAAAGCTGATAATATTACCACAATAATGAATTTATTTACAGTATAAGGACATCCCTGCAGTTACTCACCTTAAGAGAGCTGGCACAGGCCCTGAAGAGGTTACGTAGGCCTTTGGCAGTAATGTAGTCACCATGACACTGAATCAAAGCAAGGCTGACAGGACGATGTCTACCAATTTGTTCCAAAGACTCATCTGTTAAGTTGTGATTCTTTTTAATTGTGATGTAGCGCCCTGTAAAATCAGTGCAACAAAACTGACTAAATTGTATATATATTCAAATACCTATCTTGTTCTGTATTCACAAAACTGTGTTGTTCAATCGTGTCAAGCTGGCATAGGAGAATCAACCAGGGCCTAAAACTTGTAAAAATGAGAAGGTACATGTACTGTATGTTACAAAATCAAAGTTTTGTTGAAAGGTGCAATAGATTGTTAACTTTTTGTCACAGTATAATCTGAAGTAAAAAGGCCATTCTTGAATGTAGTGTTTGGATAAATGTACTTTGAAACACAGGTAAATACAATAGAATATAAATCTGAAATTGGATACAAATTCTGGTGAAATACTCGTACTGCACCAACTTATGAGCCGGTCAATGGATAATTCTTCTGACTGAATTAATCTAATACAACCGACTTATATGTGGACCGACTTATAGGCAAGTACATGTGGTATGTTTTGTAAGAAATTTATCTAACTATCAAATGTCAATTATTTTATCAAACAATTAACCAATAGCATTCATAACTGTTATGCCTCTGTAGTTATTTGGATCGCAGATGTCACTACTTTTATGGATAGGTGTTATGCAGTCCGATGACCACAATTTAAGATAGTGGCCAACAGTAAGGTAGCTTTTAAAAATTATGTGAAAGCAAAGTAAAGGAGAAGTTTGACCAGTCTTAATCACATCATTAAAAATATTGACTACACCTGAAACTTCTCCAACTTTTATTTTTGAAATAGCACTTGATATTTCTGATAAGGATATGTGTTTATCTAATTCATTAAAGCATTTTACTTTTTCTAACCCATTAAGGATGCTATTCATCTATATGCGTCATTTGTCTGTACTTACATAGAGTGTTGTCCATGCAGACTCGGTAAAAATGTTGACAAGTCCGAGCACACTTGATCAGATCTGAGTGAGGGAGATATGACAAAACATTCAACAGTAGCTCATCCGGGAGACACAACCACACCGAAAAATTGCCATCCCGGATACGTGGGGTCTGAAATCAAATTTATCATGTCTCATCATTTTTTTTTTTAATATCAATTTGTAAGTGTTCTGTAGAAAGAGGAAACATTTCTTATTTTTGAAAGTTGTGTTTTATCTAAGATCTCAAATTAACTCAAGGTACTGTGAGCGAGCTAACAAAATAATATCCCCACCCCAATGCAGTTTTGTTAAAGAGACCATTCTAATTTTGTAAATGTGACCTTGAACTTGCCAAAAAGACCTTGGATAAAAAAAATGACAGATACCCTGGTCATAAGAAATCTTTTACTGAAATATGGATATCCAAAGCTTCTCCATTAGAAAATTATAGACCTGTCATGAATTTTACACTTTTTATACCAGTGACCTTGAATTTTCCACAATGAGCTTGGGTCAAGGTTATGACAAACCCTCAGGTTATAAACAATCTTAGTACCAAGTATGAGCTTCCAATGATTCTCCATTACAAAGTTATAGCCTGGACAAAAATTTTATAATTTTTCTGCCAATGACCATGAACTTGGCAGAATGACCTTGGGTCAAGTCGAGACACACCCTCTTGTCATGAATAATCTACATACCAAGAATGAGCTTCTGATGATTCTATTTTACAAAGTTATAGTCCAGACAAGAATTTTTTACTTTTTCTGAAAAAGTTACCTTAAACTTGCTGGAATTACCTTGGATCAAGGTCAGACACACTCTTGGGTCATAAGCAATCTCTGTACCAAGTATGAGCTTCCAATGATTTTTCATTTCAGTTATAGCCAGGACAAAGTTGCAAGGACATAGGGACAGACAAACGGACAAGGTGATTCCTATATACCATCCCAAACTTCTTTTGTGGAGAGTATAGTGACTAATGCCATTAGAATGTTCAAAGAAATAGACATGTATGTTTGTTAAGGATATAGACTCACCATTTCATGATACTTATGGTAGGCATTCAACACACTGGCAGCATCAGCTGAGAAAAGGACAAGGGAAAAATTTAACAAAATTCCTCAACTAATTTGTCAACTACTAATTGGCAACTACACAGTGAATTTACATACCCTCCTCAAATATAGTGCTAATTATCTTCTTTCTTTCAAACTTTTCAAACAAAAAAATATTTAGGACTGAGGACAAAAATTTGTACACACCTGCTGGAGTTACCGTCTCGGGTTCTTGCAGCCGGTGGTCCACGAGCCCCGGGAGGTCTGAGGAGGGACTATCCTGGGTTACCTTGGGGTATGTGACATCCAGAACTCTGATCCCTGGGTTTTTCTGCCCCTCTTCTGATGAGGCACTCTGTGTCCTCTCCTCCTCTACCTGTTCTATTGATGGAGGATCCTCCTCCTCTACAGGTGCTGACTCCACAGGTAAGTCCACAGGTATATCTACAGATAAATCCCCAGGTAAATCCACACTGGATACGTCTCGGGAGTCTTGTCTGGTGCTCCTATATCATAAAGTGAGATTATCTTGTATATAGATTAAAGAATACTGAAGGGCCTCCACTCAACACACAATTTACGAATTTCTAAACATTTTGTTTTACTCTGTACAATGTGAAAGTCTGATTTAGCCAAACAGTACATCCTGATTTGTGGTCTGTGTAACATTTTCTATGGTACCATTAATCTTACTTGTACTCCATTACCAAATCCATTTGAACATTGTCTATAGTACCATTAATCTTACTTGACTCTATAAACAAATCCATTTGAGCTTACCTGACTTTAGGGTCTGCACTGAGTGGTCTAGACTTCAGGGCGGGTCTCTTCTGAGGTCCCCCACTCCTTGGCCTGCTTGCCAGGTTCTCTGTACTACCCGAGGTATTACCTTTGCCCCCTCTCCTGGCTACCCCTGCACTCCCTGGCCTCTGAGGGGGGAGGCTTGACTTTGTACTTAGTTCCCTGGTATGATAAGATGACCAGGCAATACTAGACCTCTGCCATTTCCTCTCATATCCTGGGGCCTCTATAGATTCCCTAACAATGCTCTTCACCATTTTCCCACTCCTCTCTGGTCTGGTATTTCTAGACTTTGACTTTGTTGGTGAAGATGATCTCATGTCTCCAATCACCTGCTCCAGGAATGGTCTGGTTTCCTCAGGTTCCTTTGGTATTTCCACTTTGACCCCCACTTGTTTTGGTAGGAAGAAATCCTGCCAGTCTTCGCTGTCTGTAGAAACATCCAGAGCAGGCCTCGGTTTGTCCTCGTCACTGCTCATACACAGATTCAGACTGGGGACAATTTTTTCCTGACTCCGACATGTATCTCTTTGTTGCCTGCTCTCCTGCACACTAAACACTTCCACATCTATAGGGGCTGATCTTTTATGTTTGAGAGGTTTCTCTTTTGGTTTTTCTCTCTCGTGGAACCAAACTTCTTCATTGTCCATATATTTTGATAGATCTTCATCATTCATATCAATGTCATTATTTGAATGATGATTTTTAGAAACATTGTTTTCATCCAATACCTCTATATGATCTTCTGCCTCACTCTCACTTTGAGACTTTTTCCCCTCCTTATGATCATTTCTCTTACAGAGATCCTCCACTTGGTCTGATACATCAGGGTTTTGTAAAAGCTCACTATGTTTTTTCCTGAAGTAAGAATTTATAAATCCCTTCATCACTGGGTCGGTGACATGTTCAAATATTTCCTCTATCTCCCTCCCTGCCTGTGTGTTCTCTCGCTCCTCACTGGAGGGTACACCACTGTCCTGGCTTTCTTTTTTTATCACCCTGAATTGATCATTCTGACTTGACTTATTACTAGAGCTATCACTAGGTACACTGGGGACCTTCTTCTTTGAGAACGTCCTCTCTTTCTTTGCTACCCTGGGAGGTTTGGACTTCTTTATTATCGTGACCTCCACTCCTGCCAGGGATTCACCACAGTCTCCACACCAGCTCATGTAGGCCTTGTTTACCTCCCCACAATCCTCACATACTAACACCGACTTCCCCTCAATCTGGGACTCCTCAGGTCTTTTCTTTGTTTCTCTCAGAAATGACAGATCTAGTCCCATTTTATTCATTCTCTCAGTGATTCCCTCAGCTTTGACACTGGTGGCTTTGCTGACCTGCGTGTTGACCTCTGTGTTGACCTCTGTCTCCTGTTTCCGTGGTGAGTCCTCCAGAATTTCCTCCAGCTCCACTTCCTCTCTGATATCCTCTTGTCTGTCCCGGTAGTATAGCTTCTCCAGAGAGGAAAAGTATCGGTCAATAGAAGACTTGGCAAATTTTCTTTGTTTCTCTAACAGCGCATCTTCTTCTGCCTCCTGCTGTCGCCTGAAAACATAGAATACAAAAATATAACAGACGTACACTGCTTATGTGGAAATTTAGATGTGGGGGTAATTTAAGCTAAATACACAAGAAAAATTCATTCAGGAAATATACCCCTGCAGACTAACACCTTTCTGTAAATTTTGATTTGTTCATTTAAGTACAAATACTTACAAATCAAATAACTAAAGATGATAAAGATACATTTCCTTAATACAAGAAGATCTTTAAATTCTGTTGCTATTGCTTTCTAAATTTGATGTCTAAGACTAGTTAACCTTTATTCAAGTAAAGTTGATGACTAAGACTAGATGTAAAATTGATGACTTAGACTAGTTAACCTTTGTTCAAGTAAAGTTGATGACTAAGACTAGATGTAAAATTGATGACTTAGACTAGTTAACCTTTGTTCAAGTAAAGTTGATGACTAAGACTAGATGTAAAATTGATGACTTAGACTAGTTAACCTTTGTTCAAGTAAAGTTGATGACTAAGACTAGATGTAAAATTGATGACTTAGACTAGTTAACCTTTGTTCAAGTAAAGTTGATGACTAAGACTAGATGTAAAATTGATGACTTAGACTAGTTAACCTTTGTTCAAGTAAAGTTGATGACTAAGACTAGATGTAAAATTGATGACTAAGACAAGTTAACCTTTGTTCATGGAACTGCCTGATCTCCTCTACATGTCTCTGTGAGGAATTCTGCTGTTTCTGAGTGATGGATTTTCCCTCGTGTTGTTGAGTGCTGGATTTCCCTTCATGTTTCTGACTGACAGATTTCCCCTCCTGTTTCTTATTGTCTGTTTTCTGTGCACTCTTCTTCTTCCCTGGCAGCCCCTCAGTTTTCTTCACTTCCTCTTGAGTTACAATCTTCCTAGGTGAGGATTTTCTGTGGATGGTCTTTTCTGAGGAGTCTTTCCTTTGTAGAGGAGGGTGTGGGATCATCATATCCAGCATCTCTTCATCTAAACATGTACAGACAGAAGGCTAAGTGAAAGATTCAACAAAACACATGTACTAAACACACTAGGCTTTCAATTTAACATTTTCATCAGAAAAATTATGCTGTAAGAAAAACATATGGAGCATTTACATCATGTGTAGTAAAAAATACATTAGGTATTTTCTATTCCGCTGTGTGATCTTTAAACATGGCATAGATTTACCTCCATTTTCTTTTTCCTGTGATTCTTTATTCTCGGGGTCTGCATTGGGCTGTTTCTTGTCCAATCCTGGGACAGGTACAGGGTACGGCACAGGATATCCTTGAGCAGCCAAGAAACTGAAATATGATGCTAAATCCACATTCACTGGAGGTGGAGGATAAGGTATTCCACCATGCCTCTGAGGTGGATGAGGAAAACCCCCCTCTCCTTCTGGTCCAGGTACGACTGGAGATTGAGGTGGATATGTTGGAGGTCCATGATGCATCATTTCATGCCTCCTTTGATAGTGCTTACTTGCATCACCTGCACTGTGGACAAAAGGTACACTGGGGGGCCTTGGGACCTGGAAAGGCATGTACCGACCATCTGGTGACTGTGGAACCTGGGGAACATAGCGACTGTCTGGAGAGTGTGGAACTGGGGGTACTGGGTAATAATTGTCTGGCATATGGGAGACTGGATAAGGAAAGTGATTGCCCTCTAGAGGGTGAGACATGTGTGGAGCCAAGTATCTGTTATCTTGGGATCTGGGGATATTGTGTGGCATGAAACTGTCATAGAACTGTTGTGGAGGTACTTCTGGGGGCCAAGGCTTATACATATTGGGATCAACAATATCAGGTTTGTCCATCAGTTTGCTGTCTGCTACAGCAGGCCTTGGGGTTACCCCTGAATACATCTGTCTATACAATTCTGACTGCTGACTTCTGGCTGTGTACATGATCTCCTCTTGTGGAGGGTAAGGTGTTCTGTAATGATGTGGGGGAACCTGTGAGGAGGGGAAGGGAGACTGATCAAGCTGGGAGGGAGAAAACATTGGTACAGGGTAGCTATGTCCTCCAACAGCTGCACTACTTCTTGGAGCTGTAAAAAAATGAATTCCTGAGAAATATGCATGAATGAAATACCAAATAAAAGTGATACATAAATGTGATTTTAAAACTTACAAATCACAATTACTTCTTACTAACTTGCTCCTGTTTACTATGTGGGGAGCATAGGGCCACACAATTTACAAATTCACAATGAATGGATTTTATTATTACCTGATGTTGTCTGTCCGTTACTGTAATCTCTTGAAAGGTGGACAGGGTTACCATGGTAACTTTTGTTTACTGGTGGACTTTGTCCTAGGTAGGCCTGGTGATAAATCTCATCAGAAGAAAAGACAACATTTCTGTGAACTGATTCATATCCATTACGAAAGGATGGAGGTAAACTGAGGTTTTCTGCCTCATCCTCATTTTCCTGACTGTAAATATTAGAGGGTTCAAATCTGGGTCTGTTTAGTCTTGGTTTCTCTTTTTCTGATTTTCTTTCCATACTAATGTCCTTTTCAATACTTAGTTTCAGCCCTGATTCATTTTTTAGATGTTTTGGCTTCTCTGGAAGTTTTGGCTTTTCTGGTTTCTGTAATTTCTCCTCAACAGATGAACTCCTATCACTATTAAGATGATCTATGTCCTTTGTGGATTTTTTCAGGAATTCGTTGTACTTCTCTTCCCCTAATACCTGTCTCATCTCTCCTGGGATAAAGTTCTCAATTGACTTGACAGGCTTTTCCTCTGGCCTGTGAGTAGACAGACCTAAATCGTCCACATTTCCAAGAGATTTCTGGAACAACTGATGAGGCTCAGTTTCCTCGAGAGACTCCTTAACCTGAGGACTCTTACCAGAATTCTTGAGTTTTGAAGATTTACTAAAGAAGTCTTCATATTCCACAGCAATGGGTGAAAGATTTTCTTTCTTTGATGAAACATAATCAATTTTTGGAGAGACCTGAGAACTTGATGTTGTTTTTTTCTGGAGGGAGGTTTCTCCATGATGAAGATATCGAGGTGAGTGCTCCGAGTACCTGGCTTTTGCGGAATTCTGACTGGAATTTTTCTGGTTCTCACTCTCTGCTATCTCCTGTTTGGCCAGACTTATCAGTCTTTCTACTGCACTGTTATACCCCTCCTCATCCCCACACTGAGCTTTAGCTCTCAGTTCCTCTCTCAACAACGTAAAACTATCTGTCTTTGACTTCTCCCCCTCTCCTTTGTCTGTGAAATCTCTGATCTCTGCTCTTATTGCAGTTGCCTCCTTTGGTGTGGCCTCATTTGATATTTTCCTTGTTGGCAATCTCTCCAGACTGTGACTTGCTTCTCTCTTGTCTGTGGCACTTAAATGATTTTGGTAACTCAAAAATTGATTCCTTGTAGATTTCTGCTCAAAATTATCATCAGCGAGTGGCTGAGTCTGGGTGAGCTTTCCCTCCAAGTCGCTAGACTTTTCTTTGAGATTCAAAGTGTTTAAGCCTGTTTCCTTCTCAAATGCTGCACTTGCTGCAAGACTAGAGTTGTTCAGTTCAAAGTATGCTAATCTTCTCTTTCTGATCTCCTCTGGAGAAGGGTTATCCTCCATCCTTATCACTGTAAGAATTAGAAATGCATGGAGATGGAACAAATAATTACTCCAAATTTCAGATTTTAACAGGTCAGGCACAATCTCTTGATTTAGCTATATAGCTTGATTTAGCTATATAGCTTCATTAAGCTATTCAGAATAGCTTGATTTAGCTATTTTATCACACTTTTTTTCTTAATATGTTATTTTCTCAGCATGCACAAAAAGTCGCACCTTGGTGCAGTGATAATATTCAACCTTGAACTCTTCTGAAAATAATGCATGTAGAAATCACTCATCAAATTGCGTCTCCTTAAGAGACTTTGTACTCAAAGTTCTAAACGTTTTGGGGCTATATAAAGCAACTGATACAGTTACTTCTTCTATGAAATTATAAAGGAGGCCAATTATGGTCAACAAGATAACTGATTGGTAATAATTCAGTACAATGAGAACCAATCATACTTATCCACACCTCAACACACACAAGTTAGTGTACAGTTACTCAAAAAATGGAAATACATCTTTTGCTTAAAAGTATTCAAATGCTGCAATGTTAGAACTATCTTTGATTTTGGTTGTTGTCTTGATAGCCCATAGTACATATATGAATTGTCAAATACATGCAACTTTTAGTCTATTTCTTACAAGAAATATTTTTCTGAAAAACTGCATATAAATAGCTTTATCAAGCTATTTTGAATAGCTTGATAAAGCTATATAGCTATTTGTAGCTAAATCAAGAGATTGTGCTGGACCTGTTTAATATCAAGACATTTACAGATTTACAGATCTATATCAATATACATAAACAATAACCTTTTCTTCTCTCTCTATTCAAACCACTAAGTCTTTCTTATCTATTTTAATGTGACCAATGAAGGATCTTTGCAATATATTAAAATACCACTCATTAAACAGAGGTAATTCGGAATGGAATGCTTGCATTAATAACTAAAAAACCGTTGAAAATTTCACCATATAATCAATGTTTCAAACTACAGTCGAACTATATTACAGAATGCGTAGGATGAGTAAACTTACGTGTAATGTGTTACCGCATAATCATAATGACAACTTGACAGACCCCTGCGAACGTTTCATCATAACTGGTTCCCATGCTTAATGCCGTAGAGTACGTGCACCAACCATCGGAGCAACCAGTCAACAATCGTCCATTTTGTTACTAGTAAACAATGTTCTCCAAGTAAATCAATGCTTTTCATTCATCGATCGATTGATAGCGCTAATTATTGAAGCGATAAAAAGATGTAGATAAAGACTGAAAAATAAAGCACATAACAATACTGAGGCCTGCAGGGAACGCATAGCTAACGTGTGAAATGCCGTAATCATCGGTAATAATGAGTCAAAGGATACACCAAAGGTTTCCAAATGCCAGAATTTAATTTGCATGTAATTCTTTCATTATCAAAGATAACATAATGAAAGTATATATCATTTGAAAGCTTGTTAAATTTACTATTTAATTATCGTAATTTAAACTTTAATAAATAACTTATTTCAAAATTATTTAAATATTAATGTAAATTTTAATGCATAAATATTTTATAAATCAACTTTTTTGTATTTAACCCCTCAAAGTGGTAATTTTGCCTCAAGGTAGATTAAAGATTGAACTTAAAAACTGTATCTCAGATTTTTTATTAATCTTCTAATTCAAAAGTTACAGCCATTTGTCCTTCAATGTTAACAATTTATTAGCCTACACTATTTAACATTTCCCTCAATAATTCCAAAACTAAGCTACAGTACCTGGCCATAATACAGTACGCAAAATGGCCGCCGTTATAACAAGAATAGATATGGGTTACCCAATATCCAAGATATTCGACTTTTAATTTATTCAAATTTTCATTGTGTTCAGATGATTTCTAATAAAAAAAAAAAAAACAAGCATTTACTGACAAAACGTCAGAGATACTCAAGCTGTAGAAAGTCAACTATAAAAGTGCCATATACATAAATATCCTAAAATGACATAATATTTAGGCTACTGCATGAGTTTCAACTTTTGTTGAATAAAATATGCATATAGTAGGAAACAAACTGCATGTACATATATAACGTTACATGCATGTAGTGACTTTATCACAAAATTGCATATGCATAAAAATAGTTTTAATTTCACATAGAACATAAACTAAATATAATTAATCGTATAATTTTAAAAAAATGTATTTAACGCCTCACTCATTTTCAGGAATATCTAATCCAAATAGCATGTTACAGGCCTATAACAACGTTTTCAAAGTGAAAGGGGGGGGGGGGGGACTCCCAAAAAATCCCGCATACTATGGGTCTGTGCTTCATGTGTACCATCTAACTTTCCAATGATAGAATCTTCTGTAAAAAAAAAATCAAAACAAGTCCAAGTCGTTATGGATTATCAAAGATAGCCCATTTTTATAAATAGCAAAACTACAGATCTATCAAGGATAGATTTTAATTTATTTTTTAATTTTGTGCTATTAAAAAGTACTATCACTCAAAGTATAGGCAGATGTTAAAGATGGTCCAACCTGTCACCTTTTAGAGTAATCAATGAACTCGTCCAGTGATGCATTGACGGCCGTTGTTAAACGCAAAGAAAGCGCGAGATCGGTTGCGGCCATGGAGCATCACTGAATATTCCTCCACCATATACTGATTTTGAATATACAGACGTTTTGAAGATAAACTTCATTTTTGTTTCTAGAAATGTTTTTATTTACAAAAATAGTACATTTTCGTGTTAGATCGATGACCATAACTCAGCCCCTCTAGCCCAGTCTATGGCTTCACCTTGAGTAAAAAACCTACACTTGTTATGAAACTGGTGTATAGTTCTAAACTTCTTTATGTCCGTAGCAAGTACTGATACCCAGTCTACTGATCTAAGCGTCAATAGGGAACGGTGCACACACCTGTTCTTGCAAGACCAAATAGCCTAGGTCTACACACGTGCGAAGATCTTTCCGAGCTCGGAAAATCACGCTGCTTTGCCGAGAAGTGTTTAACCATAATAACCATTCCGTTATTTAAAAAAAGAGAGAAAAAACACACACACCGTTAATGATTAACATTCTAACTCAAAAGAAAATATACGGCAATTAACGAACAATAATCATGACAGTAATATAATTGGTGAAAAGATTTATCATTATCAATCGAAGTGTGACCTATATATTTTCGTGAAAAAGACTGAGGAGGCAGCGAGCGTAGGAATATGAAAACTTTTTATTTGCTTTTCTGGGGAAAAAGTGATTTTCTTTAAATCTTTTAACGTTAATTTTGTTTTCTTTAACGTATTAAATATACATGATTATTCTTAATATTTGTTGTAATGTTTTATCTACTGATCATGAATGGAACTATTTTCTTCGGAGCAATTGTGTGAAGAGTACCTGACTTTAGTAATATCGTCTCCAAATCGATAGAGGCCCATATGTCCTTCACAATACGCACTAGGTCTTCGCGTTTTTTAATTTCGTCCAGGCGATGTTCTAATCTGATCTTAATTGTCCTCCACACATTTTCAATTATGTTAATGTCTGGTGATTGACTAGGCCAGGTAAGTGTAGGGATGTTGTTTGTCGTTTTCCACTCAACCGTCTGTCTGGACTGGTGCACCGGACAATTATCCTCCTGTAGAATCCAGGGACTTGCAGGAAACTCTTTTGCAACAAGAGGCCACAAATTATAATCTAGGACCGAAATATATTTCTCGGAGTTTATATTTCCTTCTACTTCAAAGTTCCAACACCATTAAAAGATAAACACCCCCAGAACATAGCCGATATGCCGAGGCGGGGCGAATGACTACTATACTGTCCAAGACAATCGGGTTGAAATCTTTCTCCAGGTTTTCTCCAGACGTAAATTTTTCTGTCCTTTCCTAAAACAACTTTCATCTCATCACTAAGAATGACCTGACTCCAGTTTTCCTCCACTGTCCACCCTACTTTGGATCGACACCACAAAACACGGTTTTGACGATTTGGTTTCGAGATTGTTATTTTCTTTGAAACGGAGCATCTTTGATATTTCTGTTCTTTTAATCTCCTTCTTACAGTTCTATTAGACACTTTCTGTGGTACAGATTCGTTAAATTTATCAGTTAAATCTGACAGAGTCTGCCGACGATTTTTCTTCACCAACCTTGACAAGACGCGATCACCTCTTTCGCCCACCAATCGTTTTCTTCCCGGTCTTTCTCTGTTTTCCACGGAACTCCTTTCAGCATTTCGTTTTACAACCTTCTGTATGGAATTTGGACTTATTCCGATAATTTCCGAAATTTTCCGACTACTTAAACCACTCTCATTCAATTTAATTATCGTCTGCTTTTGCTCGAGTGAAAGGTCTTTCCCCCTCGGAGCCATTTTGATTTACGTATGTTATGGTACTAAAAATAAATCTACGGAACTTCCTATGTGTGTGACGTCAGATATGACGTTCATGTATGGATGTGTATAGTTGTCATTATTTTTTATCATATTACAATCGATAAAATGAAGAGGAAAAACATTGTATGTTAATTTTAATTTTAACGGCGTCCATTTTGCGTACTGTATTATGGCCAGGTACTGTAGATATCAAAAATCTGAGATACGGTTTTGTGAACACACATTTGAGAAGCAACCCATCCAATTTTCAGAGAAATTGGTCAATAAATAAGGGAGCTGAATCCTTTGAAATAATACCACAAACTGTCTGATCTTACTTTACAGTAGAGGGCAAAAACCCATTACACAACAAAATCTGTCAAAGCTAGAAATATATGACACCTTGGAGATTCAGCTTTGGATACCTGTCACTTAGCCATATTTTTCATGCATATTCACAGGAATGGGAGGTTCTTTTCTGTATTTAGATGCTTTTAATTAAGTAAAATAGGTTCAATTCTGAATCAGAAAGATTTCCCGGCAAAATGACAAGAGCTAAGCTCCACCTCCTATTTTACGGTCATCAGTGATCTGTTAGATCTCCTTCTCTAAATCTAGAGTCCCTGTAGTTTAATTACTGATAACCTCTGTGTGGCTAGTGTAGAATTCTCCAAGTGGTCACAGTGATTTATTGCGTCTTTCATGAGCAGGCAGTCACAGATCAAATCAGAAGCTTCAATAACGGAACATTCACATGTGGTAGTGTTTATGTTTCATTATTGTTAAATAATTAGAAAACCATTTCATAATGACCAAAAATTTTACATGCATTATAAAGCAGTGATTAACTTCTTTTTCTTAGCCAAAAATCTCAAAATTGTTGAAAATCTTGAAAAAAACCTTTGGTGTATCCAAAGCAGAATACTTTGTTCAAATGACTTCTGGGGTAATGTCAGGTTAAAATTGGGGATAAATTTTTAATAATTAAAATGTCAACAAGGAAAAATCTTTTCAGGAGTAAGTGCTAAGAAGGTAGACGAACAAGGCGAGAGAAATGCCTTTGGTGAAAATGTGAGGGTGAAAAATTAAAATCTTTAGCAAATTTTTCTTTGATATTTCACCTAACATAAAAGAATCATATTTTATGTGAAATATCCACAATTTCAAAAATCTGATGTAGATTGAAATTATTTGCCTATGAAATAGCATCATTTTCTCATAACACAATTTTTTCATATGATTATGAGTGAGACTTCGCTCAATTTTTTTTTTTTTTTTGAAAGTTTATCCTCAAACTTTGTGTAAAAATTTATATTTTTTGGTTAACAAAACCATGCATAAAGCAAATACCCTCTATACCTTAAAAATCGGATTCAAAGAAAATGATACTCAGGATTTTTATTGCTAGCTAGGGTTCGAACCCCAGACACTCCTTATTCATCCATTTCCTTTAATCCACTTTAAAACATTGAGTAATTTTATGAATTCATTAAAACAATCCATGAATAAAAAATACTCACTTGATTGGCAACACTCAAATGAAACACTAAAAGAGGGCAAACTTGTCACTTATTTATTTCTGAAGAACAATTTTAGATTGGAAAAAATATCTAATTTTATTAAAACCTGAATACAGAAAACCAATATGTAGATTACGTGTATCAGCGCACAAACTTTTCATAGAA